GGAAGGGTTTCCTCTACCCTCCGCCTTTAGGTTGTCTTTCTTTTTTTGGGTTCTTGTTTATATACACCTGTGTTTCTTATCGAAAAAAGAAAATTGTTTCCCCAGCTGTGTCTCACGTAAGGCCTTCCATTAAGTGATTTGTGCCAATTGAAGAGAATTCTTGCAACTCCTTTACTTTAGTAGGCTTTTGCCTTGTAGTTTAATCTCGTTGGTGGATGTTTGTTTCTTGAGTAACAGAATGTTCCTCCAATTTAAACTTATATTCATAATTTTCAACAATACCCTATGTTTAATTTCTCTATCATCTTTTTCAGTTTAATGAATTTCTACATCTCTAAGCAGCAAGACGACAGAACAAAAATCTTACAATTAACTCATTCAAACTCTCAAATTTCTATACGTGTACCTGACCAATAAGCAAGAAGGGATCCTTATTTGATTTGATCAACCTGACACTCCATGGATGTAGATACCTAAATTTTGCATTAAAGGATTCAGAGACATTCAACTGTAGTATGCATGTCTCTATAAATAAAATGAAAATCAATACAGAGACATTAAAAAAAATCAAATTACTAAGTGTAGAACTACTTGATAGGTTAAATGATAGGTGATGGAGATAAAATGTTATCGACCCATGTGACATATCAGTAGCTCATAGATAAAATCTAGCACTTGCCTGTTGGACATGCTATCCCTCTTGACCTAGTCATTCCAAATCTATGTTGAATCGCAATACCATTGCTTAGCCATGTCCAGCCACTATACGTGCCATTGAGCCATCGAGCCATGCATGGATTACCGATATCTCCGTGCTATCCCATTAAACCTTAGTTTCTAGGCAGCTATGTAGTGTGCACATGACCGTGTAAGCCCACACCCCTTGGTTTGGTATAGAGTGTTCATGTCTTGGCCTCACTCCAGACATAACCGCTCAAACAGTATTGGTCACAAGCTTAGAGACAGTGGGATAGACGCAACACATGCTACTGCTAATCAAGTGACTTTGGCACACCTAGAGACCTACATGAAAAGGTAGCTCTGAAAGTATAATCAACTGGAATCGTTGACAGCATATTATAAACTAAAAAATGCAACTATACTTGACCATTGCTGGAATGAAGAGGCAAAATTTCGAAAGTTCCATTTCAATATAACCCCTACACAATAGAGAGATTCTGTAGCTCCCGGATGTCAGCTGAAAGAAACTGAAGATAGATAGAACAGGAAGCTGGACTCAGACATCTATTTTATCAGCGTCTATTTATATAATAAAGAACTAGTAAAGTATATCTCTAGTTGAGAAAAGGTGGGACAGAATATCCCTATAAAAAGTGAAATTGAGGACCTAGATCTCATAAGGGTTTAACATGGCAGGTTCAGTCTAAAAAGACGCCATGATATATCCCTATTACCTAATTGTATAAAATAAGTAGAAAGAAGGAATCGGCACCACCTCTTTGTGGAATGCCCCCCTTCTTCGAGGCGTCAGCAAAAAAATCTTTGAAGAATTCAGCATCTCTTGGTGCTTACTCATTAAAGCTTTAAGTTGCATTGCTACCCTTTAAGAAGAAAGGCAAAATATCTGGAAAGCTGAGGTAACTAAAACTTTTTGTGAAATGGTAGGTTTTTCCAATCCTTTTCTATAACTATGATTTCCTAGTGTACATCAATTGGAAGAATGTTTTTAGTCGCCTGCTAGCCCAGGCTAGGGCCGATGCCTTGGCTCCCATCTTCTCTTTCATTTCACTCTTCAGTAAAAGGTTTATTTATCAAAAATATAATAAGAACTAAAATCTACAGTATGTGACAGCAAGTTTCAGGTCTTAGTATGAACTAGTAAAGCCCATGGAAATTAGTCTATGCAATAAAAGCTTGTAAAACATTATTATATAGTGTTGCTTGCAAGAATAATTGTTCATTCAACTTTCAGAGAACATGATTAGTTAGTTCAAAGGTTTACTTCGTAGGTTACACAGCATGTTACACCAATTTGGTGCATAGAAATCTAGGACTACCGTTTGGATAAATGAATAAATTCGATACCAAATTTCTCTTTGTAGGCAACCAAACTTCTTATTCATTTCAACATATCTCTAATGCTAATATCTGGGGTGTTCATGATCGTCTAGACTTTTATCCAGTATAAACTACAATCCAACTTCATGCCTGGGTCTCACTAGTCCACATAGTCAAACTTCAAGCAGAAAACTCCTAACACTTGCTCCAACATTTCAAGAAGAAAACCTCTAACTGAAGAAACTCTCTCAAACTTCTAGTTGCAAATTATTTCAAGCCTCTTAATTTTATGTAATTTTTGGGAGAGAATTTCGGGAAGGATTCATTGTAAGAGAGTGTAGAAATTCTTTGAGATCAGAAGAAACTTGTGAATCCACTTTTTGTCGATTTATTGCTATGGAATCTCTTTTATCGGATTTTTAATCAAGTGTGAGAACACCTAATAAGAGAGGTTTGATCCTAAACTCGTAAAAAGGTTACCCAGTGATGTTTGATCCTGACATACAAGAAAACTGGCTGACACTAAAATATTCAAGAAGCTGCAATTGAGGCTTAGGTTTCACTATGGATCTCCAATTTTATTGCTTTAATATTGAGTTCAAGTTACTTTGAATTTGCATGTTGATAGATCAGAATTGTTTTGAACATTATTCCCAATGTTATTTTATTAGATCTGTATATTAGGTGAACTTGTTAAATTTTATTTGTTTAAACTTTAAATATTCTAGGTGAATTAGGTTGCTTGATTTAATTTGCTTTTTTTAAATAAAAATAGAGGTCAATTGTTCAATAACCCTATATACCACCTTCTAGTGTTGAGATATGACTCTACATATTCCATTCTTCCTACCAGCAAAATTTGAACTTCTACTATAAAACTAAATTTCATGTCATCCCTAAAACTTTCATTTCTTGCAAATATCATGGTATTTTTATACTGTAATCCATATCAGAAATAGGACTTCATCTCTAACTCATAATTATTTACTGTGCCTTACCAGCATGAAAACGCTAATAGAACGATATAACAAAACAAAAGAGGAGCAACATCAGCTTGGGATCTCGACTTCTGAGGTTAAGGTATTCTCCACCATCTAGGACTTGATTGTATTTCCTTCTGAGTGCCAGACATATTAAGCAAAAGATCATGTATGATTGTGAAAAAAACAAAAATCTAGATTTCCTATCAGTCAACTTTCTGGATACGATGATGACTAATAAGAATTATATATCACATTTACTGCTGGTATGACTATGTTGTGGAATATGGGGGTGAGGCAGACAAGAGGGTTTGGGACAGTGCGGTTCATGTGCTGATTCGTATAGGAAAAAATTCCTCAAATGAATTACTAGCAAGACCATCAATCATTATGGATCAAATGTGGTTAGATCAGTGTTGAAAGCTAGTTTTGTTAGTTACATCAAGAATCATTGTGAATCTGGACATATTAGTACTCACCAATACTACTGTCAAGGTGACAGGAAACATATTAGTATATCTGATGGAAAATAGACAATGGATATTTTTATCAATGCAAATTATTTTGATTAAAAGAGATGCCCTGCAAACCTTCTATTTACCTCACGCATGGCGAAAGAACAATCCAGAAGAGTAATCATTAGAGCAGGAATCTTGGACACAGTAACCTTGAGCTAGTAATGTCACTGAACAAAATAAAAAGTTGATTCAACATTTAATTTCAGAAAGATGAAAAAGATCAGAACGCATAAAAGTAGCAACATGAGATTAAGAAACCTGAAAAGTTAAGGTGCCATTATATATTAACAAGATGTATAAAGATATTTTTACAGAGTGAGTTATTAAAACTAATAAATAATGGAAAAACAACTCTCTGTTTCGGCTGGAAAAATATAACTTTATCAATTAATATCCAAGTAATTTTTGTCATATCGATAATTTAAAATAAAAACTAACATAAAAAATTTTGTGAATCCCAATCCTCATTGGAGGATTCTTTGAACTCCTCCAGTTTCCTGTGGAAATGGGTTGTAGGCCAGGATTTTGAGAGGAAAAGGATTGGAGGCAAGGAATTTGAGAGGAAATGAGGTGTAGGCAAGGATTTTGACAGGAAATGAGGTGTAGACATGATTTAATATTCCTTGGCCTTCTCCATGCTAACATTCCATTGCCATCCATAATCAAACTTAAGAAATGCTATGAATTCACTATAACAGTGTACACTAGTCAAATGACTAAATTTAAATATTCAAAATTTTTCATTCTACAACATACATGTAGTTCAGCTTCATATTCAATTTCAGTACCAACAATAAATTGTTCACTCAAAAATTGATCATATGCATACATACATACAGTTTGTAGTGTGAAAAAGAACATTCACGCTATTATATTTGAATATCAATGCATTCATTAACAATTCTATATAAATACAATGATACAACTGCTTGAACATTTACATCAATCTTAAACTTTGACATTTAACATGGTAAGAACCTTCATTTTCAGAAATGCTTCCTGACATGCCTATGCTTCATATATAATTTCATTTTCAGAAATGCTTCTCAATATGCCTATCCTTAATATATACTTCATTTTGAAAAATTCTTCTCAATATGTCTATGCTTAATATATACCTTCATTTTCAGACATGATTCTCGATATGCCTATGCTTAATATACATTTCACCCACATATAGAACACATACTCTTATACTTCTAAAGAGTAAGGAAATTACATTCTGATTTTTAATCATTAGTACTGGCAAAGGGAAGCAGCAATGTTACGACAGCAACTTCAGAGCTTACATGAAAACCATCGGTACCATTATATCCTACTTTATTCTACATCATAACATGTTTGTTAAACACTGATACTATAAGGAAATCCAAAAGCAAATATGAAATGTCCTTCAACTTTTTAATGACTTTATACTGTAAGTGTGTGCATAAAGTCTCCAATCTACTTCATACATTATAACCATGTACACTTATTTCAGATATGGAACTAGTCTTTATTAACAACCACGCATGATCCGAACGTACACTTCCTAATATATTTCCTAAATGTTGCATACAAGTTGAAAGAAAACAGAAACTTAGAAAAGTTCAAAAGAACACCACTACCATTGTTAGAGCACCACTAATAGATATAATTACAGGCAAATGATGGGTGAAGAGCTGACTGGCCTTAGCGTCAAAGATCTACAGAATCTAGAAAATCAACTAGAGATAAGTCTACGTGGTGTCCGTATGAAGAAGGTATCTAATTGTATCATTTGTTAAATACATTGGGTATTTTACAGATCGTTCCCTTTCTTTGAGCAGGATCAAATCTTAATGGATGAGATACAAGAGCTAAACAGAAAGGTTAAGCAACTACAGCTCTGACATTCATGTTCTCAATTACTTTGGTTGCTAAATTTCATTTTCTTCTTTATAGGGAAACCTTATTCACCAAGACAATATGGAACTTTATAAGAAGGTAAACTTAATTCATCAAGAAAACTTGGAATTATACAAAAAGGTAAAGATGTAAATAATTGAAACAAACTTTAAATATCAACCGAAAATAACTAAAGGTTTTCATTGTTTAATCAATAAAACATTGTGTTGCTTAGTCACCCTCAACATAAAAATTTTCAACATCCTAGGTCTATGGAACAAAGGGTGCCAATGGAGCACACACAAGCAGTCTAACAAACGGACTTGGCGTTGGAGAGGAGGCAGATATACCTATCAACCTTCAACTCAGTCAGCCACAAAATCATAAGGCACCAGAAAGAGCTACAAAACTGGGGTAAAATTGCACCTATATCTGTAAATTTTCAATAATAAAAACAAATGAATTTATCCAATCACTATTCCAATCTTGTTCTTTTGATGGTTGCAGCAGACTACAACTACCCTAGCAAAAAGAGACCTTACACCAACCAGGAAGATGTTTCTTATTTTGCATCAAGAAAACGGTGTAAGGTTGCGACTAATCTTTCAATCAACGAAATGTGGTAAAGTAACAGACCATTTCATACTAAAAGAAACCAGATTTGTCATGTTTGTGGTGATTAAAACATGGGTATTGATGTGAAGAGAAGGCTATTGGCAACAAACAATAATTGAAATTGCATCAGCATGTACACTTCATTTCCAGATATCTCAACTCTTAAGGTCTATTTGCCTCCATTATAGTTGGCTAGATGCAAATGTTCATACTTTTCATGACATGAGATATTATAAAAGAAAATTCTGGAGATCACCAGGGAAAGGAAACAAGTAGATTAAAAAGAAAATTTGTCCTGTACTAAGTTTCACCCAACAGTTATACATGATGTTCAGCATAGAAGGACGTAGAGTATTAAACTCGTACCTCTCCTGCCCAACCATAAATAATAAACTCATCCAGCAGTCTGTTTATCAAGATAATTTTCATTACACTAAAGTAAGCCACAACTCAGTAACACAAATTTATCAAAAAAAGAAATAAAAAGCTCCAACATTATGAACCAGTGGCAATTGTTTAATCAGCATCACTGCTAATATTAATATTTCCAACTTCATAAATTCATTTTTTTTAGTAAGAAACGTCACTTCATCAGCTCCAAAGAAGTTAAAGAAACACTCTAATTGTGGATAATATAGTGGAACTGTATCAAAGGATTATGCTAGTCAGGTTGCTAAAATACGCCTAAAGTTTGAAAACCACCTTATCACATGTACAAGAACTTCCCTAAATGGATATGTTAGAAATGTTAGAAAATTATGGAAAAAGAGTCATGAATGGTTCACAACCATATCCATATTGCACATCACAAACAATCAATATTCAAAGTTCTTCTGTAGTAAACAATCCTAACAACAGCTTATATAGTAAACAATGGCCATTATGGTATTGATAATAATCTAGCCATTTACTTGTATGTACCAGCTAACTTATAACCACTAAACTTCAATCAGTGGAGCTCAAATGTGGAGAACCTGATAATTACCGTGATCTAGAACCGTTTTGTTTTCAAAATTTAAGCACCATAAAGATAGATTTTTTTACATACTCATACAAACCCAACCCCAGTGAGAAATTGAAAAACAAAGCAAACCTAACTTTTGACCATACTTGCATGACATACAGTGCGTCAACAAATAAAATTGATTTTGAAAAGTAATACTACTCAAAAATAATGTGCACGTTGTCACATTCGTAATAATTAGTGAGTTAATTTCATTTCAATTGCATATACCCTTAACACTAGTGACATTAGTGAAGGGATCAGTTATGGATAGATATATCCAAGCCAAAACCTAGAATAGAATGAGATTTAGTAACATCTACTTAAATCATTCCTATAACAATGACACAAAAACTGCAATTAAATGCATCCATTGCATGCACACACATGACTGCTAGATAATAAAATGTCTATGTGAGAAGTTACTAAAAGCTAATGAAATTCAGGTACCAGGAACTTGAGCGAAAGGAAATACTAACAAGGGAAAAAGAATATTCAAAAGCTTAGAAGGAAGGGATTGGTAACCTCTAACCACACGATCAGGCGTAGAATTACTTCAATGAGGGATGGAAGAGAAAAATGACTTCAACACAAATAATAATGTATGTAATCAAATCCATAGAAGTGATCCATCTTGGGTATGGTGTGATGTAAACCCTTTTCAATAAAAATCCCCAAAGAACCTTTGTGGTAAGCCCAATTCAACGATGGTCACAATCTACACATGATGTAACACCACAGCATATGTCTGCGGTGCTAGAAGCCAACAAAAAAAAATTAGTCGACACAAACCTTCAATAAATTGGCGTTTGCTTTAATTCAGCTCCTAACTTGGGATCTTGTACATCTTTTACCTCCTTTATGGGCATACCACCCAATGGTTCTCACACCCTTCCTGTTCCTATTCTACATCATAAAAAATGATCCTAGACTCTAGACTGGTACAACTGCTAGAACAATCTAAGATAAAATATACAACAGAATGAATTCAAAAACTTGAAAAGTCACTAGCTAACTATTAATTATTAAATTCATTTAGATAGAGATAAGTCTAAAATTAAAAAATAAAAATAAAAATAAATACATACACACACACACACACACACATATATATATATATATAACGGGAGTTGGATGCTATTGACGTCGCTTAGCTAAGAATATAATATAAACCAATCTGGTGGAGTCAAAAGCAGGGTTGTCAAATATTCACCCCAAGTCACTTGAATCAACATCCAGAAGCTAGGTTGATGTGATTAATTTAATCCAAGAAATGATCAGGATTCAATGTGACAATTGTTTATATATTTGACATTACAATCAAGGAATTTTGAAAACAAGGTGCCACCTGCAGAGAGGATGAAGTCAATGGAGAAAAGGAGAACTATAGAGTAGAATTTAGAATGGAATTGGGTCACTATATTTTCAAGATATTGGAAGAAAGACTAAAAGAAAATCTTAATCCGACATAACGTAAAATCATGTACTTACCCAAAGATATCAATTAATTCTGGATTGAGATTATCACTAAAAGAAGTTTCTGAAATAAAGCCACTAACTAATTTATCAAAGCCCTTGAGATCGTCAAGGATAGAAACATCTCCTGAAAATTTAAATTGCTCAGTTCCCACCATTGAGCCTTTTCATGGCCTTAAAAAGAAGCTATAATTATGATCCCCTGTGCACCAGCAGCCCATTTAAACTTTCATTGATAATGTCAGTGGTTAACATATTTCAAATACTTATTCAGAACACAACAAGTTCATTGTTAGTTATTCTTTAATGGTTCTACTACCCGGTGCATGATTGGTACAACTTTCCAGGAATATCAATAAAATCGTAATCTACTTCTTTGTCCAATCAATACAACCAACTTTTCCAATTGGCACAAACCATCAAAAAGGATGAACCAAAACATTTTACTTTGTCACGAAAGGTAGACTGCAAGAGGATTGATAATCTAATCAATACATGGAAAATGGTGGTTACCTTGTTCATGGCAAGGACTTATCAGTGGACAAATTCAACTAACCTCTTAAGGGAGTTTGTTGTATCTATTTCTGGAGACACAAGTTTCTTTTTTTTTAAAAAAAAAGGTTCATTCCAGTGTAAACTCGGCAGATGTATTCATTATCTGGAGTGTGGATRATACCTAAAAGGCAGCAAGTTGAAAGCCCAACTGCTCCAAATTCAACCCAACAATAAATTTTCTTTAACAATGCTAACTTTCATATTTTTAAAAAATCTTGGTGATTTCACTGAGAAGAAATTATAAAAACTGGATAAACGATCCAATGAGAAGAATCTCATGTAATTAAAATAGCTTTCATAAATAGTACAATACAAAAGAATGCCCCCAATAACTATCCATAAAAAATTCGCCCAAACTTTTTTTCTCGTTGAATCTTAAAAAGAAGCTGTAAGAAGGATTTTGTACCATGTGTTGATTACATTCAACTCTTCGCTGAAGCTATTCTTATCTCCTTTAACCAAGATGCCAAAGAATGGTCATTCGCACAATTAGAAGAGCTTTGGATACCTATAATAGAGTCACCATTTGAACTCTCTAGTAAAGTCATTTATCTCTTGATTAGTGCATGCAAGCAATGCCAAAGCATTGAAATACTGAACTCCAAAAATTAATAGATTGGTGAAAAAATGCACACACTTAATTCTAATTCCTAATCTTTACAAATAATGTATCATTGTTAGGACCCGAAGAATGAATTCTCCTTGGAATACACTGGTTATGATGATCTTTCCCATACAACACCAACCAAGTGAACATTGAATACTATTTGCTAAACACAGGGTAATCATTAAGAGAATGGTGCAAACAGAACACCCAAAAATGCGAGGAAAAATAAACTGACAAGTCTTGAGACCGAAATCCTTTTGCCAAAACAATTAAAAGTAATCGAGACCCTATCCAGAATAAAAGAGATATTAAATAGCGGTATGCTATTGCTTATTAAAGATTACTTCTATGCTTCGGGAGGTAAGATCAACAACTATTTACTCAAATAGTTAACTGCAGTTTTCATGGCAAAGAAGACTGGCTAGCATACCAAAACAAAAGTTGTGAGTTCTAAGTATGGAGCTTACAGCACCCTACATCACAAAGAGTCAAAGACCTCAAAGATGATCTTGTCTGAAAGAACACTTAAAGATCTTATAGGGTGACTAATTCTACTAAAATCATGCCTTAAAGGAATGCGAAAAACGTAACATTCAACAAAGCATGAACCTTAACTCGTCTTTTCAAAGATTGGACGTGGAGATTTGAACCTCCGACCTTAAGGAAAGGAGTAAATGTCATTCCTGCTAAGCTATGCTGTCCTAACTCGTTATTAATTAATAAGATATTATCCAATCTTAATATCTTATAAACAAGTTTGATTTTTTTTAAATAAACTAAAGCATCAGGAGTTTCTAAGAAGTTAGAAATGCGTAGTTGGACAACCATACCATACTAGATAAATATGAACCATTCCCAAAGCTCTAGAGTTTCGAACTATCATCAATCATCAATGTTATCCCTGTATTTATTTCAAGATAACAAACAAAAGGATCCTTTCTTTAAGAACCAAACCCGAATCACTAATAAACAGAAGAGGGAGGAAAAAAAAGGGAGGGAGGCTATGGCCAAATCATAATAACGTCGTCAACTTCCAAAAACATTATACAGCAGCAGATATAAAATGTTGCAACAGAAGTCTTGTAGCCTACTGAATAAGTAACTTGAATACAGGTGCCTAGGTTCACGATCAGACAGGCAACGGAAGTGCAAATGTAAAAACAATAATACACAGAATCTCAAATGCTTAAAAATAATAATTAAAAAATAACAAAATTAGTGGCTATCTCCGGAATTCTTTGAGAGCTGAACTCACGCACACTGTCAAAAGAACCAAACACTTGAAGGTATGAAACTTCTCTCTATGATTTCCAGCTCTCTTTAAATATAAAATCATTAAATATCATATAGTGCAAGTGCTATGAAATGCGTATTTAAAAATCACGTACAAGCACAGAAGCAAGCGAATAATAACATATTATAATTAAAAAAATAAATAAACGTCATATTATAATGTCACACACACACACACACACACACACACACACACACACATATATATAATAAATGCCTGACCGGATTGGTCCTTCACTCATTTTATATTTGTATTTGCAGTAGAGAAATGGAAACAGAAACTACGCTACATCAAGCACTAGTTCTCAGAAGGAAAAACGTAGTGAGTACGTAGAGCGTGAAGAAAACTTACGATGAAAGACGAACTCTGCAATTAAGCGATTCTACATCGTAATGTCTGTTTGGTTCACAAGAGGACGCACTCAACAAGACGACCTAGTAATTCGCAGGCAGCGGAAAAGTTGAGCTCGGATTCTCGCCTTTTTCAGTTTTCTTCTCCTCGCGGATTAAAGCCAAACCAAACGGATCTGAGAACTAGCTTCCGAGACGACGTTATCCTCCAATGAGAAATACGATCGAACTGAGAAGCCATAAACAATAGCTGAATCGATAATTAAAGTAAAATTAGAGCGGGAAATTATATCACAGACACGCATGGTAAGCATGAACATATGTTGAGAAGCACGAAGATGGAGGACGACAAAGATTGAAGAAGAAGAAAAATTCGAGGAAAAGTTCCAAGAGAACGAACGAGAACCCGAGTAAAAGGAACGGATAGTATGCGATGCTTCACGCGAGGAGACCAAAAACGCCGGTACCAGACGACGAAGAGGCAGAGCAATTTGATGTTTGATCTCTCTGGACGCCCGAAAAGAAACCGAAAATCGAGAATAAAGGGTCATATTTATATACGTGATGTGACAGAAGAAGACTGGTGGATTTGGCACGCTTGGTACTTCGTACGATTTTTTAGAATAAAAAGAGAGAGAAAAAAAAAGAACTACATGTAATCACTATTCACTACTATTTGTTTGTCACAAATTTAGCTTTCTAAAATTAGTTACAAAGTTTTCGATGTTATTCAAATAAAGAAAGGTAGTAAAAATAAATTGATTACCCATTGGAATTTTTATCGTATTTTATTTTAAATATCCATTTTTAAGTTAATTTTCATTTAAGATATTTTTTAAGTCAAATAAATAGTATTAATGTTACTTTTTCTAAATGGTTGAATGACCAGTAGAAATTATGATTATTATGTAATATAAGAATGATCCTTTAATATAAGTTTTGGTTATACAAGAACGTGCTTTCTCCAAAAAAAATTAAAAATAAAAATAAAAAACAAATACGAAAATGTATAAAAAATATCTCTAAATTTATTCGTCTCTCCATATAAGATGAACTCCTCGTCATTAAATATTTGACAATTCATTGTTATTTTAAAAAAGATTTTTATTTTTATATTATTTTTTTTAAGTTGTCAAATATTTAAGGTGATGAGGACAAAATTGCTCTTGTGGCAGAGGACTCGAGTATTTTTCATTATATATTTAAATATAGGAATATCAAATAATATTTAGAAAAAAAAAAAGGAAAAGCATTTTCTTACGCACGTGCCAAAAATAATCAACATCCATATCCTGAATTAATAAAATCAAATATCTATAATTAGGTCTATTACGTGGGGCATCGGTGCCCAGTGTAGTACCACGTGGCACGAGCTAGACAAACCTCCGCGTGCGTAGGAGAGAAAATTTCCTGTTGAAACGTGTCGAGAGAACATACTGGAAATGCCAGATCACGCAAAGGAAAGAGAATTAGGTTCGTCTACGTGGCATAATGGGCGAATGCAAGTCGAACGCGTAGTCTATTGTAAACCAAGCAAATAATTATTTTTAAATTGCCGAGGATGATAAATATCTACTGACAACGAGAGCAACGAGTAAAATCAATTATAAAGAAGTTTATTTTAAACAGTTTTTCTTAAAAGAAAAGATAAAGTACGAAAGTGAGTTGGCCAACGTATCTACAGCTACGTGTCGAACATTGGAAATGTTAATTAATAATCCTGGCAATTTAAATAATATTTGTGTAAGGGAAAGGACGAAGATATTTTAGGATTCAAAGTGGGATGTTCCCAAGTACGAAGATATTTTCCGGCCCAAAGGAGGACAGCACATTTAGGTTCGAGGAATTAACCTTTTTTTTTTCCATTACTAAAGCAAATATAACGTGCGTACGTGGGATAAAAGCTTTTAATTTTAAAGGGAAAAAAGTTCTGTTTTTACATGGTCACTGGATAAGATGCTCAAACCGAATATAATTGGTTTAGGCACCTATTTCTGACTTGAAAGTTAATGGGCAAAGGGACAGTCTTGATAGATAATTTCTACGGAATGTTGGCTTCCAAAAGATAACGAAGAATATTCTTCCATGGCACTCTCATAATATAGGGCCATAAATTGAAGAGATCAAGTAGTGGCTGCAGCATTAAAGAATTTGGTTATACATATATACATATGGTATATATATTTTTGTTCTATTATGATAATAATACTGTTACAATGCTAAGAGTTATATTCGAACCATGGACCAGTGAAGTTAATTTATTTTTTATTTTTCGTTATTCTTCATATGGACCATTGAAATTTGAAGTTGCAACTATTTAATTGACAAGCAACCCCTACTGTCTGGTCAGTGGCAAAGGAATCTTTCCAGAGAGCGAAAAGAATCCGATGGGAAAGAGCAAAAACAAGACCATTGAAGTTTGTTATCGTTGTTTACCATGCCACTAGTCACCAAAGCAGAACTATACAGTTCAAATTCTGCTTTAAATGAAATATTAGTTTGTTTAAAAACAAAACTAAAATTTCTGAAAATAATTTAAAATAGAGAAGAAGTATATACAAATAATTTAAAATATAAAAATGAGTGGGATCAACTAACAACTTCTTAATTGAAAATATATGTCAAATATCGTTGAAATACACTCGTTTTGACTAAAGAAAAAAATTAACCATGTATCTTGAAGCGACTTTTTGTTGAGGTGACATAAGCCAAATAAAACCACATTACTTTAGAAAATAAATGACAAATAGAATAATATTTTAAAAAGTTGTTTTCATTTTAGTAATATCCTTTTTATGAAAATCGGTTGGTTCTTATTTTTTTTTAGGAGAAAAAAACATTAACAAGTAAAATACAATGGGTTAGAAAATTAAAATTACAGAGATCTTGAGCTCAATAAGGGAGGGAGGAGGTATATAAATTATAAGTTTGGTTTCGAGTTGTGTTCATTATTCATTAAGAAACCGCAATTTTCAAGGACGTTTCCAAATTTTTAAATTCGTGTTTAATATGTCACTGTGTTGTCGCTTTTAATTTGGCAATTATGTCACCAAACATCCTAAATTTTTATGAGATCGGCATGTCACGTAATTCCTGAATTATAATGCAATTAGCATGTTAATAAAATATTAAACTATTGAAGTTAATAACAAAAATTTATATGAACATAAGATTGAAAGTTTGAAAACTATAAATATTGGAATCTATTAAATGTATTTATAAAAAAATAAAAAAAACTATACACTTAATAGACATACCTTTGAAAGTTGGGGCTAAACTTACCACTTAACACTGCATCAAATTTTATAGACTACAAAATCTCCAGCAAGAATATTTATTCCCTTTGATCACTAACTTCTAAGTTTGAAATATATCTTCCTTGTTCCCTTCCAAAGATTTGATCACTTCAAAGCAATTCTCAAGAAAACAGAAAATTTTCTTCAAAGCCGAAGCTTAAAAGCAAGCAAAATCAACAGTCTACACAAACGGCCTTCCAAACTACTGAAATGGCACTTGGCAATTTTGAAATGAAAATGTGATGGATGTCATTAAAACCCGATTTTGTTGTAGTATTTTCCCTATGTCACTCTTCAACCTATTTCCTCAAAAAGTCTTAAGGCTTCGTGGAAGAAGAAGAATGCCTCGTCTGATCCGAAACTTGCCATATGTATTATTCCAATTTAAATTTTCTTAAACTTTGGGGCCACCTAATTCACACATATATATTTTTTCCCTTGTTGTGTAAAAAGTTTGGGCCCTTTGTCTTTCTTGGAATTTGGAGTTGGGACGTAGAATTTCTAGTTTCCTTGATCAAGAAACCTATTTGAGTCAATATGGTGAATCAAATATAGCGGCGTTAATTTAAATTAAATTTGTTTAATCAGGTTTAATGGTCAAAAAAAATTTCTGCTGAGGTTAAGTAATATCTCGAACAAACTTGATATCCTAAATCTGGGAAGGTGGAGGTAGATTGGGAGGAGTGTATAGGGTGGATATAGATAGACTGTGTACCGTTGGTGGAGGATTGTGTAGTGAACTGTTTGATTTTGTTTTTAGTTGTTTTTTTTCCTGTTGTTTAGTGAACTGTTCGTATAATTTAATTAAAGTTTTTTTTTTTATAATTTTGTAGAAGGCAATTAATCCATCTATTTTAAATTTGATATTTTAAGAAAAATTATGTATATGCAACAACCTTATGAATGAAAAATAGCACACGGTGCAAATTAAAGAATAAGATAAGCCATGAGAAATGATGGAGGGAGAGAGGAAGCACAAAGACGGTGGAGTGGGGGTTAGAATTCCGATGGAAGGGAAAGGAAGAGGAAGAAGATGGAGATGTAGGAGTCAAAGATGAAGAAATCAAAACAACAAACAACTGTGAGAGAGATTAACAAACAAGTAAAGATGTGAAAGACATTTGAAGTATAGTAGAGTAATATTTAACCTCAGAGTTTGAATAGATGAAACCCGAGCTCTCATACCTCACAACTTACACATGGAGTGAACTACTCAAACCAACCTCATCCCACCTCAAGTTTACAGGCCAATCCTTAAATAATGTCGGGACTAATTGAATCATGCATTCATCCCGATATCAATTTACCAAAAATAAATTTCTATTTGTTGGCCTTAATGGCCAAAACGGGACCACTGCCCATCACTTCATAGAGGAATTTTTCCAAATTTAATTACACGTACACACTCTCCTATAATTAACTTCAAAAGAAAAGGAAAAATCAAATTCACACACGCAAACAAGCTCTCGTATGGAATGGATACAAATTGCACTTAAATATCAAAGAATCGTAAAATATTAAGGAATTAATGACATTAAAAGCACTTTAATTGTCTCCTTGTCTCGTATATAAGAAACACGATTATGTCATATAAACCATCGCTTCACCGCCCAATTATCCAAAAGTTAATTATATATATATATACCTAACGCAACCCATCCGAGAATCTCCATTGGGCGAACGAAAATCAGCCCAAACGGACAAAACTTCCCAATTCCCTCTTCTCTGTCTCTGTCAGTGGCACCACTACCCCTCTGCCTCGGATGCTTAAAATCCAAAAACACTCGTTCGTTTATTCCAATTTGGCCTTCAATTCCATTATCTGCCACACACTTGTATCCGAAGAGAGAACATTTTCTTGCTCTCCAAACGCAAAATAAAAATCTTTCTCAGAAAAGGGAAAGGGGTTCCGCTAACCGCTAATGGAGAGGCCAAAAAGTGGGGAAGGAGAAGATTTAGCTGCGTCGTGTTGGGGGCGTCTCAAGTCGAAGCTTTCGTGGGTTAAAAGAGAGAGCAATAATCTGTGCTTCACAGAGACAAAGCCATTTAACGGCGGATTCAGGTATGACCCATTGAGCTACGCTCACAACTTCGATGAAGGCTTGGATGAGGATCAAGAACCAGGCTATCGCAGTTTTTATGCAAGATATGCTGCTCCTTCCAAATCGCTGCCTAAGAAATAGCAACGATTCTCAAATTTCGCTCATGGTAATTTCCTTTTTTTTTTTTTTTAATATTATTATATCTTCTTCTTCTTTCTTAATAATATTTGAATGTGGTGTATATACTCGAGAGGGGGGTATAGTTGTCAAGGAAAGAGATAAAAAAAAGAAAAAAAAGGAGAGTTATTTATGTATAAACTTAATCTATTGTGGAAAAATTTCCACTAATTTAGGGTTGCTGGACTTGAAGTTCTTTGAATGAAAGGTGATAATGTAATTTTGATAATACTGTTAAAGTTTTCAGTCTTCGGTAATGCGAAACTTGTCTTTAGTATTCTTCTTTGGAGTCTTTATGAGTTCAGCAGAATTGACAGTTCGTTCTTTACTGAACTTTCCAATGCGATATTTTAACATAAAAAGTTGGTTCTGGAAGGTCGAATTACAAACAAACATACAGAAGAATAAGATCAACAACTTTTCGTTTTTTAAAAGAACTGATGAATCTAATTCTGATTACTTCTGGTTGATCCTTTGCAAATAATCTACTTCTGGTTACAATTAAATCGAGGATACTAAAGAAAAATGCTTTTTTCACATGTGAGACAAATACTAAAAAAATGTGATGTAAAAAAATTGAACATAAAAGAAATCAGAACACAGGACAACCATCGACTACGATACCTTTAGCGGTGGGGCAAGTAGCTAATTCGCAGTGCTCGCCGTCGGATCCCCACCACGACACAGCTTTATCCTCCATTGTTAACGTGAAATACAGAAGCACTCCCATGAAAGCCAAGCCCGCATCCAACGCCGCCGAGAGAACGTAATTGTACCTCTGCCACCACCGTTTGCGGTACCTGAAAACGAAGAAGTTGAAGATGGTGCCGACGATGATCCAGCAGTTGAAGTTGACGGTGGTGGCCGGCGGCATGGCGGCGGTGGAGCCGAGGAGGACCGGGAGGTTGATGAGGGAGATCCATTTGTGATTGGGGAAGGCCTTTTGGAGAAGCCATACCAGGAGGGGCCCCACGGCGCCTCCGATGAAGAACCAATTGAGGGCCGCGTAGTTTCCGAGCGAGCCGAAGATTCGCTTGGGCCCAACGAGGCCCCAGATGACTGATGCGTCGAAGAAGACGCGGTCGCCGGGGCAGGTCCAGGGGCTGTTCGGAGGGAGGAGTTGGTCCTGGCAGATGTTTTCTACGGAGGTCAGTAGCCACCATGCCACTCCCATGTTCACTGTTCCCGCTATCAGAGTTCCTATGCACTTCAGTGTTGAGAAAACAGAACAAAAATCACATGGGTAGAATTTTGATAGAGAACAATTTAAACAGAAATAGAAGTTGGAATATACAAAATGAATTTTGCCCTCCTTGTTTGAAAAACATGTCAAATATTAGAGGCAAATATGAAACTAAGCACGCAAGTTGGGGGCAAAATTAAAATCAAACACATATGCAGAGGAACACTTTCAGGGAAGACGGGTGGATTATAGAGCTGGGGACAGACTAGATCGAAGGTTTATCCATTGGAATTGAGCATGAGCGAGCTTCGATTGGGACAACTTTCTAATATCTCGAACCTTTTTTCTTCCAGCCAATAAGGAGAATGACCAAACCATATCTATTGCCTTACGCCCTCCCAGAGAGTACAAAGGGAATTTGTATGGTTTATTTGGTTCAAATTTTGCTCCTAAAATTTTTAAAGCTTCAATTTTGTCCGTTTTCAATTCTACCCTCAACCTTTTATTTTTCTATTAGCCATTTTAATGGAGATTGCTATTGGGAGTTTTACGAAACAAATTATCAAAAATATATGGAGAGAAATGGACAGTGGCATTTGGTTTAGTTTAGTTTTACAAATGAGAAAATAATGGCTTAACAATGAAGATGGAAATGTGTGTTACCTGAACAATGAACATAGAAATTGGAGGGATCTTCATGTAATGGCCGAGCTTGAAATCATTGAGAAATGAGACTGCCTGTGTCATGCTTATATATCCATAGGTCTTGAAGCAGACATTGGCTATTGGTCTTCCTGGTAATATGATACCCATCAGGTACTCCGTGATAATGTTGAGTCCTGGGGACTGCCAAACGAATACAATCTATTTAAGATAATTCAATTGAAACTACAATAGTAAATTTAATCGTTTAGTGTTAGATATCAAGGAATCAAATATATTTTGATTCATGAAATTCCACGCTGATTACTATTAATATCAATAATATTGAAAGAACAACATTGCACGAATTTGAACTGAAATTTTTTAAATCACCTATTGTCTTAAACTTTAATCTTATAGACAAATCGAATCGGTGTAAAATTGCTTCTGGTTATGGTTAAAATCATTAAACAGTTCGGAAAAAGGAAATTGCATAAACAGGGTGGGAAGTTCAAAGTTCATACCTGATTTGTAGTGGCAGTTATAATACTGATGGGAAGGGTAAAAGTCAAGGCAAGAACCGCAGCAAAGATGAGTCCCCACCATGGCATTTGAATCTGATCTTTCATGAAAATGCACATTGCAAGAGACAAAATAATGGACAAAATAAGAAGCAGGTGGAACCACCAACCGGGTATATCCTTGTACTTCTTCATCAATCTTGTATGAATATCTTCTTTACCGCTATAAGAAGCTCGGAACTGCTGATATATTTCCCTGTAAAACGCAGTCGTTCCTTATGTCATTTACAAAGAAATGGAATGTCTCTAATAAGTAAGACTTTTAAAGATCACTCAACATTTTTCTAAAATTTAAAAACTTAGGCAACTTCAATAATTCAAGGACTATAATTTAAAGAAATGAATGTTACCAGTAACCACTCACTTTCCGTTAAAGAGCGCAACATGAGAGAGGGTAGAAACGATAGCAGCAAAACCAATGCCATAGGAGAGGGAAAAAAACACGCTGAGATTTATTCTCCCCTGCTTCTCGTAGGCCGCCATGTCAATCTCAAACTTGTCATTCACAATGGCGGAAACGTTATAAATCTGACCTTGGGCATCAAACAGATGAGAGGAAAATATTGGGAAGTTTTTGGCATTGTAGAGATTGGTCTTCCAGTAAGCAATTGGAAGCATAATGTAGATGATCACAAAGTAGCCGACGGCAACATTGACAATGGCGAAGAAGGGGCTGATGAGGGGGCTGTAGAGGTACGAGGCGATGACGGACCAGTCGAGCGAGAAGGAGCCGAGGCCGAGGCCGCGCATGCCAGAGCCGAGCTGCTGGGCAGTGACGGAGCGGGGATACATCCAGCAGACCCAGGAGATGGTCGACAGAGTTGGGAAGAGATAGCCTGGAACTACGTACCAGGAGAAGCTGCATATTAATGCAATCAAGAAAAATTTGCCCCTTGACATCCGGCTATCGTCTTTCTCGTGCATTGCTCTGTGCATCGCAAGCAACATTAGACTTTTAATTGTGTTGTTTCATGGGGGAAGCAAAGAATAGCATATCAAAAACGAAAGTCAATCCTCTAGTATAATTCACTCTCTGTTCATACTAGAAATTTTCTTTCTGCATCATTTTTAGAGATTATTCAGTAGTAATGAGAATTATTTATACCATGGTAGAGTATAACATTATAACAACTAAACATTACCCATTTTTAGAACGTCTGGTGCCAAAGTCATTGAATTGGTAAATTGTCAATCACCAAAACGGATTATGTGATGTAAGGTTGCGGATGGACATTTCTTTGTTTGATTTCTGTTGAAGGGTATGTTCGGGTGGGTGTAGAAACTAATATTCTTATTACAAACAATAAATTTTTTTATTGAAAATTAATTTAATATATAAATCTAAATTTGAGAATTGGAACCTCCTTAGTAGAAGTAAAGATAGTTTAACCAGCTAGTTGCATCCATTTTGCCTCCTCTGTTCCTAACACAATACTTTTGAAGATTGCATAAAGCTGCTACCATTAGATTATTGTTAATTACTCATATGTGACTTATGGGGTCCACTACCAGAAATTAACATGAATTTATTTATTTAACAAGTGGCATGCAACCCCACCCACCCCTCGGAAAGATACAATAATCAAATTCAAACAATGCGCTCAAGTCCAAAACAGGGGATCTTTGGCAGAATAAAGTAAGATCAAAACAAATTTCAAAATTAGCTAGAAAGTTTTGGCAATGTTATATTTGCACCCTAAATATTCGTAAGAAATAAGAATACCATATACAAAACATTTCAAAAATGGCATACGACAGCAAGCAAAGAAGTTAAATATATGCTTAAAAATCTTCAACAGAAACTAGTCTGCTTCTATTACTCGGACCAGAGAAATTCCTTTCAGATAATTAAGAACAGTAAGCGATGCGAAAATAAATATATTGTTTGTAACCTGAACAAGGAGACCTGCACCAGACTACTCGGCCACCACATTTGGGCAGGATCCACCACATACTTCCGCAGTATGCCCGCCCAACCATATCCCATAACCTGCTCAATTCAAACATAGGAAAAACGTTAGCACCAAACTCAGAGTTCTGGTGAACGAGTTGAGTCAGCTCCGGGGCGTCACTCGTAAGGAAAGAAAACGAAAACTACCTGCGTCGTAATAACTAGAATCCAACCAGCTAAGAAGGAGATTTTCCGATGATAAAACGCCATGACTATATCCACAATTCCGATTGCGTAAGCAGCTCCATTCCCGAACGCGGAACCGGCATTAGCAAAAATCGAAATCAGGACGTGTTCTTTAATATTGAATGGCCCTGGATTGAGCGAGAACTGTGTATCCCCAAATCCAGGGATCCGAAACGTCGTCGTCGGAAGCACCTTGGCCAGAAATCGGCCGATCGGCAGTGTCGCGATCTGAACGGAGATCATCGAAATGACGAGCGGCTCCGTCCGGTAGCCGAAGAAGGTGTTGAGAAACGACAGGACAACGCAGGACAGCAATCCGAGAAACCACATTCGGAAGGTCCATACGGGGAGCGAGGGATCGTCTTCGTTAGATACAGTGAGGCGAACCTGTTCAATGGGGGAAATTAAGTCGTCGTCGTCGATGGGTTTGCGCTCGTCCGATTCGGGTTCTATCTCGGAAGAAGCCATGGCGGACACAGCGAAGCGAAAGAGTGAGGAGGAAAAATGGTTTGTTTGTTTGGTAGAAGGATCAGATAAAATTTTGAAATGGAGTGTCGAGCAGTAACAGAATCTGCGGGGAGAGAGATTTGAGGAGACGGTTACGTTGGCGCCTTGATTCAGTAAAATTTTTATTTTTTAAACGTCCGCTTATGGAAAGCAAGCGGGCCGGAGAATTTCCCTTCTTATTTCTTAATTTGTTTGTTTTGCGGCTTTTGCTAATTAATACTCTTTCCTGGAATCTCGCTAAGCGCCAGCGCAGCGAGAGACCAGTTTAACGCAAGTATAGTATAATAATAATGGCTGCAAATCACGGATTTCGTGTGCATTTTTTTCGAAGACAGGCGAGAGATCGAACTTACAACAAAGAGATTGTATATATATGTCAATTACCGCTACGTTCATTTGTCTATAGATTTCGTATGTTTTTTAGGTTATATTATTTATCTTTTAATAAAAGATACCTAAAAATACATTTTTGGTCCCAAATTTTATAGTAAATGTTTATTTGATTTTTAAAATTTCAAACTACAAATGTTTGGTAGGTAAGATTTGGAGTTCAAGGGACCAAATAAATACATACTTCAAATCTTTTTTTATATTTAAATCTCATTTTCTAGTGCATTAGCTTTTTTTGAGATACAAATTATAAGTAACAAAGCAAATCAGAAAAAAAGATTTCCTAATCGAATTTATGTTTGTTGGTAGACTTGGGAATCAAATAGCACTTGAAAAATTTGTTTTGGTAATATATTTGTAAATTAGTGTACAAGTATTTACTTGAATCTAAATATCATTAATTAATTAATTAATATATATATTATAATTATTATTATTTTATAATATCATATAATTTATAATATGTTAGATTTTTTGTCAAGATTTAGTGGTAATTGACAAATATCTTCAATTAACAGGTTGTGAATTTGATTCCACCACCACATGTTATAAAAAAAATGTTTATATTTTAAATATTTTAATTTTAGCATAAACAGAATAAATTTATTACATGAATAATTATTTATTAAAGTTTTTATATTTTTTAATGTAATTTTACAAAGTTTCAAATTTAAAATCTAAAACTACTTATAATAAAAATATTATTTTTAGAATTTCAAAGATAATATAATTCAAAAATAATTTTAAAAGACAAATAAGCTAAATAAATATTCAAGAAATTGATTTGATTCAATGAATCTGTAAAATAATAAACATAATCTGTTACATGCCAAACAAACCCGGATGGTTCGAATTGTTTCCTCATTTCTGTTAGCTGGTGCGTTTCTTCTCTTGCGGGACAGCTTGGCCTCGCCATCAACGTCTCCGCCCCTACATTTATTATCATCTTAAAATTGATGATCGTACTTTCCATATAGATTTTCTTTCACAAATAATATTTAAGTTAATAAGTTGGACTAAAAGGCATACAGAACTTAATTTGTCATTTAAATTATTAATATGATTCACAATTGAAATGCAACTTTTTGATCCTTCAAAAAAGAGAGAAAAAAAAAAGAAATGCAACTTTTCAACTCCCAAAACAAGCTTCAAAGTTCAAACTACACACACGGAAGGGAAAAGTGGAAGTGTAAATTACAGTAATTCTTCACACTCAAACGACGACCAAATCAACGAGTACGACATGTCGGACTTTAAACATATATACCGGCGTTAGAACACGGGGCAACCGTCAACGACGACGCCCTTGGCGGTGGGGCAGCTCGCCAGCAAACAGTGATCAGTGTCAACAGGATTGGACCCCCACCAATTCATATGCACATTTCTAACCCCAAACGCGAAGTGAATCAGAACCGCCATGAACGCGACGCCGGCGTCCAGCGCCGCCGACAAAATGTAGTTGTACCTCTGCCACCACCTTTTCCGGTACCCGAACACGTAGTAGTTGAAGACCGTGCCGACTAGAATCCAGGAGTTGTAATTAATCGGCGCCGCGGGGGGCATGTAGGCGGTGGCGCCGAAGAGGACTGGGAGGTTGATGAGCGGGATCCAAGTTTGGCTGGGAAATAATCGGGAGAGGAGATAGACGAGGGAGGGGCCGAGGACTCCGCCGAGGAAAAACCAGTTGAGAGCGGAGTAGTTTCCTTGGGAGCCGAAGATGCGCTTGGGTCCGACCAAGCCCCATATGACCGACGCGTCGAAGAAGACGCGGTCGTTAGGGCAAGTCCATGGGCTGTTTGAGGAAGCGCTTTGATGGCAGATTCCATCCACGGTCGTTAACAGCCACCATGCCGCGCTGATGTTGACTGTCCCTGCTACTATTGTGCCAATCAGCTGTGGACACGTGGATTATAAAAAATCAATTAATTCTCTTCCAAATCAATCAAGAATAAATCCAATTACCTGGTAATTAAATGGCCATTTTTTTCTTTATGGTTTATTTTAGAGCCAAATGCTTTGTACGATAAAAAAGTCTTGGGAAAATATTGTAGATTAGTTGTTAAATTAAAAAAAGGAATATTGTAGATTTTGAGGTTTAAAGTTCAACTTTTCCCCTCTAAACTAAAGTTTGTTTAATTTTGTTCATGATCTCTCAATATGTATGTTATAGTTTTGGACTTTTAAGGTTTATTTAATGTTAGGGTCATTAAACTTTCATATAAATGTTCATTTTAATTTAGTTCAGGCACGAACTACCACGATTAAATAAAACAGGCACACATCTTAACTTAGAGATTAAAAGGATAATTCAAACACATCTCTTCAAAAAACATGTTTGATCAAAATATAGCTTCGTAAAATGTAATATTTGGTCGAACAATATATATATTTTTTAATTTTTGAATAGAACAAGAGAAGTAACTAAATGTATTGATCATGAGTTGAGTTATAATGGTGTCAGTGTCCAAACAAGTCTCTTAGAGCGATGCTTTCTAACTCTTTTTTTTTCAATTAATTTCTAATTATATAAACGAGCCCTATATGTTTTACATGTTTGAATAACTATAAATTTTTAATAAGATTTAAAACATATGGTATATGTACGTAAGGCAAAATTACCTGAACAAGGAACATTGATCTGGGAGGAATCTTCATATAATGTCCTAATTTGAAGTCACTAAGAAAGCTGACTGCCTGAGCCATACTTATATATCCATATGTCTTGAAGCAGACATTGGCTATTGGCCTTCCCGGATATATCACTCCCATTAAATACTCTGTTATAATATTAAGTCCTGGAGTCTGCTCCACACAAAATCATGTAAAATTAATATTTTTGAAGTTTTTCGCTCAATAAAATTTAGGCTAGATTATAAAAAAAAGAAACCCCCTTGAAGCTTTTCTTTATTTCAGAAAATATAATTATTCTTTCAAACAATTGAATAGCACCCCACTTTTCAATCAATTCTATTGGAATAAACATCTAGTAATTATATTTTGAATAGAAAGTTGGATAGTCACAATTAACATGGAAGCTTGTTCGAATTGAGTTTAAAAAGAGAGAAATTGTAGAAAAGCAATCATTTTTTAAAGGACATGACTAACGTGTAAGCTTGCCCAAATGGTGTCCTAATTAATCTTAAACCTTAATTATATTGTTATGTTAATTCATATTCTGTCATATTCTGTCACGTCAATTTCCGTTGAAAATATTAATGAAAATTTTCTCATAGAATATTTTAAAATCGTTTACGAAAAGTTTAGGATCATATTGAAACTTTTAAAAGAAGAAGAGGGATGCATTTTTGTAATTTAGCCTAAATTTGATTCAATTAAAAAGAAGAAGTAATTGAAATTAGGAACTAATTAATTACCTGATTTGTGGTGGCAGTGATAATGCTTATTGGGAGAGTGAAAATGAAAGCGAGGGCGGCTGCAAAAATAAGACCCCACCATGGCAACTGAACCTGTTTCTTGAGGAAGATACAGAGCGCAAGAGAAGCGGCGATTGCGAGTAATAGAAGTATATGAAACCACCACGATGGTATGTCCTTGTAGTTCCTCATCAGCCTCGTGTGGATGTCTTCTCTTCCTTCTGAAGCTGCTCGGAATTTTTTAACAATCTCCCTGTTATATATTATTAAAACCAACCATTAGTGTTATTAATTAATTGTCAAAAATATATATATTAAGATTATTTCGAACATATGATCTTAATATGATTTTACCAAGATAATCAAAAAAAAAAAAGACAAAAAATTGATCCTAACTTGTAATAGAAGATACTATTGCTAATGCCCCTCCTTACCATTTTTAGAATGTCACATCCAATATATGAGGTTGGAGAGAAACATATATATATATAGTTTTAATAAACCAACTTTTAATTTTGTGCTTAATACACTTCTGTCGTTCATTAACTTTGTTGATTTAGTATTTACGTTACTGAAAAACAACTGTACCTAACATATTACATAATCTTTAAATAACAAAATAATTGCTAATATGAACTACCAAAAGATCATAAGTTTGAAACCCTACATCCCATTTGATATACTAAAAAAACAATATAATCAACCCATGATATTATGCACTAAATGAGAACGACTTATTAGAAATCTTTTAATTAAACTTCCAAAAACATGTTATATACCATTTTGAAAGCTTTTTTCAAAAAAATTAACAGCTTTAAAAAAGCACGTAGACTTATTAGATAATCAAAAAATTCAATAACAAAAGTTGTGATTTAACCTTAAAAAACTAAATAAAATTGTAAAATTGTAGACGACCTTTTTTGGTAGCAAAAAAGAAACAACAGCCATAATATATATATATATAAAAAGATACTTAGCTCCTGATTTGTGAGAACCTATCAAGTTTTTATTATTTTATTATTTTTTGTATTTTTCTCTTTTAGATAAATTTTCACAAATCGGAGCCTTATGACAAAAAACAAAAAAAGTGTCTGACCTCCCATGAAACAAGGCAACGTGAGTAAGCGTGGCGGCAATGGCGGCGAAACCAAATCCATAAGTGATAGCGAAGAAGGAGCTCAAATTGACCCTTCCCACCTTATTATACGCGTCCTGGTTCAACTCGAACCGGTCGTTCACAATGGACGTAATATCATACTCCTGCCCATCGGAGCTGAACAAATCCGACGAGAAAATGGGGAACGTTTTGGCGCTGAAAACGTTGAACCCCCAGTACGAAACGGGCATCACCACGTAGATGAGCGCCACGTACCCCACGAAGATGTTCACGATGGCGAAGAACGGGCTGATCAGAGGGTTGCCCAGGAACGACGCCACCGTGGACCAGTCCAGAGAGAACGCCCCGAACCCGAGCCCCGAGAAACCCGACCCGAGTTGCTGGGCCGTTACTGAGTGGGGGAAGGCCCAGCACACCCATGATATGCTCTGAAGCGTCTGGAAGATGTAGCCTGGGAACATGTACCATACGAAGCTGCCTCCCAGTGCTATTAGGAAGAATTTCATCCTCGAGATTCGCCTCTCCCCTTCTTCCTCTTTCTCGTGGAGTGTCCTGTCCAGTTAGATTTTGAAGTTTAAATTTAATTTTGACTTGGCGATCATGTTAAAAAATTTAGCTTTCGATTTAAAAGTTTTAATTTGGACGGGTGGTCGCAAAGATATAATTATGAGTTCAACAACACGTAGTGGTACGTGGATAGTTGAATCTACGACTTTTTACTAACCGCTATGCTCTGACTGTCAAATAATTTGTAGTGTTTACCCAACTTTCGTTCAAGCTTACGAAAAAATATGCTTACCATCGAATTATACATATGAGGTCGGCAAATTTCTCTCTTATTGTTTTTATGTTTACATTAGATGATAAAAATTAATTGAAAGACATTAAGAGTTCCTTTCTAGAAAAATTAATGGGCTATAAATTTTTAAATAATCCTTACTAGATTAGAATAGAGAAAAGTTTTAACTAAAAATTGAAAATGATAACTAAAAGATAGAAATGTAAAAATAAAATTTTCTTTAGAAATAAATAATGAGCCATGAATTTTTCGTTGGAATAGAAATATGTGGTTAAGGTAATTAGCTAAATATTTTCATTATTTAATTTATTGAGTGTGAAACTTGTTATTACCGGAAAAGTGAAATCTGGACGAGGGTACTCGGCCACCACATATGCGCCGGCTCAACCACGTACTTCCTCATAAGCCCAGCCCAGCCGTAACCCAGAACCTGCACAGTAACCACGTACAAGCCTCACCTTTTAAATTAATTAGTCCGAAATTAAGTAAAAATAATTCAGATATTAATTTTATTTTTTCTTAAAATTATAAAGAGCATAAGAAAGAATCACCTGCGTAGTGATGACGAGAAGCCAAGAGGCGAAGAAAGAGATGCTCCTCCAATAGAAAACCTTGATAATCGTCACAATCCCCACCGCATACGCCGACCCGCCCCCGAAAGCGCTTCCGGCGTTGGCAAATATTGAAATAAGCACATGCTCCTTCATGTTAAACGGACCCGGGTTGAACGAGAACTCCTTCGACCCGAACCCGGGGATCCGAAACTTTCTACTGGGAAGTACGGACGCCATGAACCGTCCGATGGGGAGGGACGCCACGAGGACGGTGATCTGGGTGATCACCAGTGGCTCCTTCCGGTAACTGAAGAACTGGTTGACGAACGACATGACGCAGCAGGATAATAGACCCAGAGACCACATCCGGAACGTCCACACCGGCTGCGACACGTCGTCTGTGATCGACACCGTTAGCCGGACTTGCTCTATCGGAGAAATCTCTTCTTTCTCCAGAAGGTCGTCCGTGGTTAGCGGCGTTTCGGTTGCCTCTGTCCCCATGGCGCCGGCCGGTTGTTGGGGAATCTGAGAATCCCTTCCTTTTAAGTAGTTGAGCTTGGCACACCCCTTTTGTTTGCCCTTTAAAATACGAATATTAGTTACGTGCTATCACGTGGGTTTTTTATTTTAGGACGTTTACTTTTCCCCTGAAGCAACAATTTAATTTATCAATTTTAATGGGTAACGATTTACTTAATTGTACTTTTATCGAAGTAACAATTTAGTCATTAAACTTAATTTAGTCCCTGTTATTTCAAATTTGTAACAATTTAGCTCTTATTGTAAAAATTTTTATTAAAATTAAGTGTCAAATTTTATCTTATAACAATTTAACCTTTGTAATTATAAACATATATGGTTCCTTTTTAGTTTGTCAATCTATATATATAAGAAATTTAACAAAAAAATTTCACGATAATGGCTAAATCGTTACAAACTATAAATTACAAKAACTAAATTATTACATATTAAAATTCAATGACTAAATTGTTACCAATCTAAAAATACAGGGACTAAATCGTTACAAACTAAAATTTATGGACTAAATTATTACTTTAGCCAATGTACCGGGACCAAAAGTATTTTTTAACATTTATTTTATCACGATTATATTTTTGTGTAGTTGAGATAAAGGCAAAAGGTGAGATAATATAACAATTTTTGCTATCAAATTTTGAGTGGTGGTTGATGGGCATGAAGTTAAATGCAAGTGTGGTAGATATTTAATTAGGGGTTTTTGGGATGTTTTCATTTGTTTCACCTTTCCAAATTTGGTAACAAATCTAAGTATTTGACGACTATTTATTTTAATTTTTTCTAATTTTTTAGAAATATTCTCAAAATTGTAAAGAAATTTTAGAAACAGCAAAAACAAGTTTTTTGTTTTTTTATCTCGTTACAAATTTGTTCTAATATAAATAAAAATTTTGTTTTTATTATTCATCCATGTATGGGTGTTTGAGGTCATACAGTTGTATTTTTTTATTAAAAAGAATAAAATAGAAATAAGAAAGCTCTCAACATTAGTAAAATATTATGTGATAAATATGAGAGATTATTGAACAGTAAAATGACAAAAAAATAGAACCATATATCTATGTATATGTAGTTTTTTCAATTCTAACAATTTAAGGATAAACTTGTGGGACCCTCTTCTTATTTTTAATGAAAAATACTTAATTACTCTTTTACCCATTTAATTTGGAACCTATTCTATCCTCTTCCCTTTGGACATTTTAGTTCAAATCCTTCACCCAGGTGAAAGATGTCTCTTCTGTACGTGAATACGAATTCATTTTCCTTTTTCTACGTAATCAATCTTCTCATATACGACTGACTTCTTATAGGGACCTTTTTGAGCGAATATATTTCTATATGGAAAAATCGAACCTCTTGTCAAAGTATTTGCTAATTATTTTTTGACTATCTTACGGGTCGAGAGTTGATATTTTATGTGGTACATATAATTATTAAATTATGAAAAAATCACCTATAAAATCATACTTCAAGTTGATGCATTTATTTTTCATATAAGTGACGTAAATAGATAATGTGATTAGCAAATGTTAATAATTTTTTAGGTGCATCTATGTCTGTGTGTAGATTGACGTATTGGTTGCGAGCTAACATTACAAAACAAAAGTTTATAGTACTAAAGGAAAAATAATTAATTCAAAATTTTAAAACAAGTAATTAGTTCAGCCAAATGCTTGGACAACACCGTCCACGAGTTGACATCCAAGACACTTCAAAATCTTCCCCCATGGATAGCTTTCTGTCTCTAATTTTCCCATCATTGTTTAACAAAATAATAGTCGTTCTAATCCAACCCGTTAAAATATATATTTTCTATAAAAAAAAAAAAATCCTGAGCTCGAATTTTCATTCTGAATTTACTAAAAAATAGAAAAATATATATATCTAAAAAAGACAGTTATTCTCGTATAGCCACCCAACTTGATTTGATTCAATAATTTATAGTATTTTGGGTATACAAAATTTGAAAGTATATTAGACACCCAAATCTGTAACAAATTAATCTTGAAATCCTATAACATAGGACTCGTTAACACTGTCCGCAGAGCACAGCCAATAAACTATATATATATTTTATTAATTATAGAAATCTGGAAACATAAATTGTTTTATTTGTCCATTTAAATGTTTATTGGGATGGGAGTGGGACATAGTGCCGGCCGACATGGAAATTATCGGATGGAAATTGCAACCCATGAAAATTACGTAAAATAATAAGTTAATTGCATGGGAAATATCCTCCAAAGTATCTGTATCATTCTGCTATTTTATTTTATTTAATTATAAGCTGTTTCCTTTGTCTCAGTAGCGAGAATTGGTACGTCATCCTCGCCTGTGTTTACATTACACGCTGATGTGGACCAGGAATTCATTAATTTTCAGACATCATTTTCGTTCTTTGGTGTAGAGATAAGGATGGAAATGGCAATTAAACAAAATTCGAAAATTGGGATTTTTTTTAAGCAGAAAAGAGATAAAATAACAAAATTTAATAAGCGAACCACATGTAGAGATGACAATTTAAATTCATATATTTTAGTTTGACTATGCTTAAATTAACTGCATAATTGATAAACGATTAGACAAACAAAACGATAATCTTTTTTTAGAGAATTCCAAAAATAATACAAATAGGTTTAATAGTTTACAAAATGACATATATAGCAAACTTATAATATACTTACATTATACTAATTAAAAGTTTACTTTTGTTGGTTTTGAAAAAAGAAAATAAAAGTAATGACATTTTTATAAATATATATTTATTTTATGCTATGTAGTATATTTTTTCTTTTTCTTGTTTGTAAAGTTAATTTTAAAATTTTAAATGATCAAATTGCCGTACATTTTACTCTATCTCATCCGTTTGTAACTAAAATCTCTGTAAAAGAAATAAAAACTATTAACATGAATATTATATTTGAACTATATATAAAGAATCGTCGCAATAGTAGTATTTTATTTTATAGGCATGAATTAGATATCTAAGATTCGTAATTTAAACGTACTGAGGATAATAATTTGTATTTGATTACTGTTTTAATTATATAACAATAATAATAACAAAAAGGAATGATAACGTTTTACCTCTTTGTAGTCCCTCCAAGCAAAGAGTAAGATTGGCAGGAGACATTTTTATTTTGAGCTTGGAATTAAATGCATTATGCTATAGTTTTGTCAGGTGGAGCTTATATATGTTGTCTTATTGTTTAGAAAGAGATTGTCACAATACTGCGTAAATTTTGGGGTCCGTTAAATTCAAGAACAATGAGAATGGCGGTGAGTGCACTAGTTTCATATTATAGGTTGGAATGTTAATATTGTCTTTATAGTTCTCAAGGATTTGCGTGTGTGTGTGGATACTATATAGTTCTCAAGGAATTTGTGTGCGCGCGCGCGCCTGCAAAACCGAACAACTCTAATCTGGTGTGACTTCAATCACACTGACTCYGATGCTTAAATCAGYGATGAGAGAATTACTAAGTGAAGTACTTAGGGTTTATCTGTTTGCTTCTAGGGTTCAGCCAGTGGTTCCCTTTATAGGGGTCTTGCCCTCTGGAACCTTCTCGTTGAGTCCATCTATCCGTCGTGATCATTGGATCACAGGAATTCGTAGATCGGGACACCTCTCCCAATGGAAGAGGAAAGAAAGTGGGCTCGGTCGCGTCGAGCCAAGGTCGGGAYCGAGCCTCGATTCGCCCGGTCTGTCACTGGGTTTGGGTCTCTCTGGTCTGTATAGGCCCATTTCCTTGGCCGAATACAATCCCATAATAGTATGTATATGTGTGTGTCTATGTATATATATATATATATTCAATACAAACATGTAGGGATGRAGATTCGAACTCACGACTTTTTTGTTGAAGATATGTACTTTAATTAAATTAAAGTATGTTYAGGACACAAATTAATAATTTATTTTTTTTAAGATTATATATTAAACTCTAAATACAATCGATATTTATATATTCATGGAACTTCTRTAGAATCAATATCCCATATCCATAAAAATTGAAATTATGATAAATCTTAAAAGTCATATACTATATATCATACACAATTTAGTAAATTATATGGTCGATGTGTGCATGTATACCAATAGACTAAGATAAAAGACATTACTTATCTCCCCAACATTCAAATTAACATAAACGAAGTTGATAGAAAGATATCACCAAGGATGATTTTTGTATATCTTCATTTTTGTACACTTCTTTTTCGGTACTCATTTACTACCATTGCATTAACTTTAAAATAACTCACCAAGTACTTATTAAAAATGAGTTTTAAAACAAATAAATTATTGTGTATCTATTTAAAAATGGATTTTAAAGCAATTTAAATTTTCAAAAAGATTTTTCAAGTATTACAAAGCTAGTAGATATTGTAAAAAATATTTTTAATTATCTCAAATCATCGAAGAAACTATACAAATGGTGTATTTAAGAGTGGTAGAATGAGTGATTTTGAAAAAAAAAAGATATAATTGATTTTCCAAAATCAACCATTCAAGTGATACCTAATGTTTTCCCAAAATCAAAATTTTAATTTACCACCAATGAAAATGGGAGTGAATTTGACCACGACAAAATATGATCAATGGAATTGGGAGTGATTTTCTATTGAAAATTTTTTTAAATATAATTGATATTCTAAAATTACTACTCAAGTGATATGTTAAAAATCAATTTAGCTTAAAATCAATTTTTTAATTTGACAAAAATTATTTATTAATCAATGGGAAGAGGAGTGATTTTGACCATACCAAAAATAATTTTGACCATATCAATGCGAAGAGGAGTGATTTCAAAAATTTCCTATAATCAATTTTTTTAGTTTATCAAACATAACCAATGGTAATAGTAGTGATTTTTACCCTTACAAGATTGATTTTGACACCCAATACACTCAAAAGAATTTTTTGAGAGTGATTTTGATTATTGGTACAATCAGTGCCAGATCCCAGTCTCAAACGCTAGTATTTTAGGGGGGCTTGGTCCCTTGTTCCACTACGCCAATCTGAAATTTTATGTCTAATTGGAACATTAGTTTGTATATAATCCAAACATTTCAAGGTTGAGGGAGCTCAAATCCCATCGACCTCCTGTAGATCCGCCCGTGGTTAGAATAAAAATTACTTTTTAAACATGTCATAATAATCAACGTAATTTAGAAAAAAGACCAAAGCCATTTTACCTCCCAAAATGTCTTAAAACACCTTCTGAATTAGTAATTATTTTAAAGACGCTTATAGAAAAATAGTTTTMTTTAAAAACAAATCTTTTCAAAAGCCAAAAAGAACCATGAAAGTTTGTAGTTAATTCCTTTTCTTTCTTTTTTTTTTCTTTTTAATTTTTAAATCAAAGTGGGACCGTAGGACAAAGTTTTAAATTCGATGAAAATGTCGAGTTCTAAATTTTATGGAAATATCGATAAAATGTCGATGTCGATAGATATTTCTGTAAAGGTTATAAAAATTAAAAAATTGTAAAAAATATTTAAATTAACAAATAAACATTTTCATATTTCTAAATAAATTAAAAAAAATATTGATATTATGTATATATTAATGACATTTTGTTGATATTTTTTATATCTTGTCGATTGTTTTTGTACTATGATTGAAATGTCGATGTCGAATCCATGAAAACGTGGACATATGAATGAAAATRTCGACGCAACGATGAATATTTAGAACCCTGCCGTAATTTTATACGGAAAAAAAGAGAGAAAAATAAAAGGCAAAAATCGTTGGGCGGGAGCCGAACGCGAGTCTTGGTTGAACCGACACTAGCCACAGGCACAGCACAGTCTCACCGCTGCGCTGAGTGAGACTTAGTCAACAATAAACACAGYCACAGTGGAACAAATAAACCGGGCGACTGTCGAGTACTGGCGGGAAGGGAAGGGCTGAAGATCGAAGAACAATCCGAATTGCGACTCAATCTCGCCGCAGTATTTTCTTCTCTTCCTCTTGCCTTTTTAGCCTTCTTCCTAATTCGATCTCCTCCAGTCCCCAGAAGCCATCTGAATTTCCGCCGTGCAGCTTCGCCACAGCCTATCATGGTGAAAACTGTGGTGGGAGAAGAATCCCGACTCAAACTTGTCGAGGATCGCCTCGCTCAGTCCGCAGTCCCATCGGAGGTCCTTCCCTCTCTTGCGCCCACCATTTCTTTAGGTAATTTCTCACTGACATTTATGGTTTCAATTGGTTAACAGATCGGCCTCGTGATCGGAAGACTTAGCTCTCCGTTGGATAGAGGATTCGTGTTCGATTTGGTCCCTACTCCTCCCAACGACGCCGGAGAGGCAGCTTGTTCCCTCGTCGACGCCATTAAAGACGACAAGAAGAAGGGATCCAAAGGCAAATCTCCGGCTGTCGATTCATCGTCTTTGGTTATAGATAAGGATTGGGTTGCTGAACATGCTCGCCAGGTGAATTTAATTATGTTAAATTCTTATTTTACAGAGATATTCTCAATATATACGAAGCATTTCTCGTGCTGTAAATTATGTTTTTGGGATCACAATTTGTAAAAGAGAGCTGGACATCGTTTTCCTTCCAGGTTCGGAGAATGCTACCGGGTGGTGTGAAGGTGGTTGGCATTTATTTATGGGCTAGTGAAACGGCGGTTAAGAATTCAACCTTATTGCTTTGCCAGGTACTCTTATCACGGTATCACCCCTTGCAACATGTAGCTTTCAACTGTATAAGTTACTGTATCTCTATACCGGATAGTTCCAATATCCATCTTTTGAGTGTTGTGGATTAATTTGTTTGTATGCAATGCCATTCGAGTACATGGAGTAATGGGTGGCCTCTTGATTGTATAGCGTGGTTCTTTCTAAAAATTTATCCATAGTAGCTGCAGGGACAATTTGGAGAGAGGTTTGAAGTTGGCCTCTTGAGGAATCTTTTAAGCGCTGAGCTAACTGAAATCGAAACCAGTGGTTATAGTGGATAGAGAATTTTCTGCATTCTGCTTGATAATGCTATTTTAATATAGTGTTTCTTGCAGACTGCAAAGGCTGTTGCAGAAGCAGCACCACTTTCGGTCATCGACTCGGAGGAAAGACTCCTCATCCATATCTGTTATAGTCCAAGGAGGTGTGTACATTGAAATCCACATGTATTTAATTCACTTCCTAGAACTCTCAACATACAGGAGAATTGTTGACGTGCTGATTAACAAGTTTGGCAGGTGGACATGTCGAAATTTCTTTTTGACTTCAAATCTCACATCAAACAGCCTGCGTCCTTGTGATTTTAAAATGGGAAGGGTCTTAACATCACTTCAGACATTTAAGTGTATATTCAACTTCGATATGAGGTAACTTGCATAACTATATCATCCCCACTTTTCTTTTCTTGTGAAGCTATATAGATTCTTGTCTCAATCTTTTTTGCTTGTGGCCTAATCTAATGGATTAAAGTGAACCTTCCCCAGAAAAGAAAGAAAGAAACTTTCATACCAGATGACAAACATTTTTGAAATGTTTCCACCCTGAGGTCCCAAAAGGAGCAAGTTATAGGGTTATGTTACATTGTAAGCCCTAAATAGGTCGTGGGCAGCAAAAAAGCCTCGCACTCCACCAAGTAAGCCCACCTATAAAGCTTTTGTATCACAGTTAAGGTCAACCAAAGAACAAATTTTCCATTGATTTTAAGGCTTCAAATAATCTCAATGACCTACGGAATCCTATTAAGGTTGAGAAAAGAATCCTCCTTAGAAGTGAAGAAAATGGTATCACTAGCAAATTACCGGTGAATTAGACAAACTTTGTCCCTTAAACAATGAACCTTTCTGCTAAACATTTACCCATGCCTCTTGGCATTATCTCCTCGTCTAGTTCTTCTTCTGGAAGGAATCTTGCCCTTATTGATTAGGATGAAGAAAATCATTGATCTCAAGCAATTCTAGATCCAGAACTCCACTTGAACCGAAGCGGCAAAGCCCCTTATCGACACATCTTATCCATGAAATTCCAAGCAACATGGTCATTAGCCCTTTTCAAAGTCAATTTTAAGTGGGAGGGACTTTTTGTACGAAGGAGCCAGGGGTCTCATTTTGTGGAGAGGGAGGTCATTTATGAGTTGTGCAGAGAGCGTGGGTTGGGTATAGGTTGTATGGAGAGTAACAAGTTTGACCTCTAGCCAAGTGACTATGGCATTTTCCTTTGAAGGTTGACACTTTGTGGTATGTGATTATTACAAGCAGGGAGCCAAAGTTTTTTGCAATCTCTTTTTGCTTGGTTGCTTGGATTGGAGCTTTTAGCTTTCTTCCCCACTTTTGTAATTTTGTACCATTTATGATTGTTTCTTAAAGAATAAGAAAAGATTATTGTAAGTATGGGTGTCAGTTTGTTGGATGGGATTTGTCTGCTGTGACTAAAGACATTCAGGAATATGTGGAAAACATATCCTATTGTATTTCGCCTCTTCTGTCCTAGAAGTTCTACCAACACCCCACGAAACTTGCACCAACACCGAGTTCACTCCAAGAGAAGGCTTTTTATAGTCCTAGTATTTTGCACATATTTGAGTCCAGCTAGAAGAGAGGTGAGAAGTTTGCAGAGAATTTGTTTTATGGGCTCATGGAGGGAAAGGAAGAAGATWAGAGGTTGGGAGCGAATGGGTTTGGGAGAGGCAACCAATTAGGCGGCTAGCAAATGGGTTTGGGGAGGGGCAACGAATTAGGAAGCTAATTAAAATATATAAAACTAATTATGCCAGAAAAATATTGTAAATTAATAAAAGATATTCAATTAGTTTTTGTTACTTTAACCAACATAAAGCTAAGGAGAGACCATTTGAACCTAGTTCTGGAAACTAACCGACTCCTTTAGAATTTTTTTTTTGTGAATATTAAGCATATAGCTTCTTGGTGGGCCTCCATCCACAAGAAGGTTTTTTGTAACCATAGCCTTTTTGTGATTACTCAAGATTGGAAAGCGTTGACTGTATAGTTTTTTTTGGGGAGGGTTTTCTCAACCCTCCGCCTTTGTTTTTTTGGGGAGGGTTAATTAATTCTTCCAAGTTTCTTATAAAAAAAAAAAACCTAGTTCTGGAAACTTAGGATTTGTAAATTTTGAACGCTCAAAGATCAAATAAGCAAAAAGATGAAAGCTCAGATTATAATTAATCTTTAATTTTATGCTTGATATTGTGTGCTAAAACTTCTACAACAATATTGAGTATACCTCTTAATGCTATATTTTGATTTCCTTACCTGTGTTTTGCTACTTTTTTGCCAGATTACCTGTTTGGAGGGCATCAAATGTCCAAAGACTAATTCATGAAATTCGTAACGGAATTTCCATTCAAGCTGACGTAATAAAAGGTGCGAAGGCTGTGGTTGATGGAAATCTGGTTAGTAGAACACAACTTTGTTGTGCAAATCTATGAGTAAGATCTAGGACCTTCTTTTTGCAACCACAAGGAAAATTTATTTTTCAATCTAATATTTGGTGGACATCATAAGGAACTGTGCTATTAGCTGGTAGAGGTTATTCTTGGTTGTCCAAGGGTGTTTGGGGGAAGGATGTGTACTCTATTCCAGGGGATATAGTGGATTCATCCAGAAAGCTGTTGATGAATTTCATGCATGAATCATTCTTATATATTTCCCTGTTTGTGAAGGAAAAGATAATTCCCATACTTACCATTTTTCTTCATCATGTTTATAATTGATTGAATTATTTATAATTCTTTCATTGCCTTGTTTTAATGATGATTATTGATCTCCATCTTTTTCCTTCTTTCTTACTAGGTTGTTAGTGATGACCCTTCTATGTCAGGGGACTTGCATGAAATTGAATTACTCCTACCATTTCTGAAAAATACGTCTCTTGAAGGTGTGCTGGCTTACTTTATTTTATTTAAATGTTCTCTCTGGTGCTTTTCCTTACCTAAATCTTTCTTCTTACTGAAATTGGTTTTGTACAGCTTCCAGCCAAAAAGATGTGGATGGTATCCTTGTCTTTAGAGGCTCTGTTTGTTCTTTTGCTTACTTGAATTCAAAAGAACCCATTTCCCAAGCTGTAACGGAAATAAAGGTAACATTTATATTACTCAGTTTTATGTCCTTCAGCTTCATATTGGAAGTCCTTTCTTGCCTGGTAAATTTAAGTCATAAAGTTTTACATTCTCTAATATTCCAAGGCTTGTTATGTGATGAGCTAACATCTGATTGCCAATTGAAATTTCTACAACTGTCCGCTATGTCAATGAAATTCTTAGTATATTTCGAAAAGCGCTTCACCACTATTAGTTATRGCTAGGACCACCAAGCTAATGGAAGTCATTCTCTGAAAACTATCCAATCTAATTTTCCACCTTTTCTTCTATGAAATTTCCTCCCTCCCCCTCCCCTCTTGTTTTTCGAAAGGATTTAAGGATTAATGGATTATGAATCACTTTCTCCCACGAGATCTGATAGTTGTGTTGACTAACTGCCTTCAACTAAAATTCCCCATTCTGATCTGAAACCTCAAATCTTTTCCCACCCTTCTATCTTCACAACTCTTCTCTTAGAATTTTCTTAACATTGATAGAGAATGCGTTGCTTTCTATAAATGCACCGAAGTTCCTTTATCTGGTTCATCCTACAACTGGGTTGCTTATTCATTCCATAACTCTGGAGATCACAACGAGATGTTTAATTAAATGTTATTGATGGAGTAATACTTTTTTCTGCTCTTCTTTAATCACAGACATGAGAAGTCAATTGTCTTAGTGATCGCTTACACGATCGCCATTTAGAAAAATTTAATTGCAGGGCAAGTTTTGTTGGTTGCAATGTACAGATTAAGACTATTGGGACTCTGTATAGTGTATAATAGTGACCGGTCGCTGCTTAATTTCCCAATGATGACAAACTTTGTTATTTTCACAGGGAGATATCATCACAAGTTTACAGAGTAGATTAGGCATAATTTGCGATGAGGTAGATGCAGATAAAGAGTTGCCTGATGATGTTCATGGGGATGCAAATGAAGTGGCATCAGAACAACACATTTCTCAGCTCTTCCTTCACTCATTGAGGTATGTGCGTGAACATTACATTAAAGGATAGATTAACCAAAAAATCGTCTGGAATCTGTATGTGTGGATAAGTTCGTTTTTGGTTTAAAATTTGTGATTATTGGGCCCAACATAATAAAATAACAAGAAGAGAGATTATAARAAAGAATATGACGCACTAAATAGTGAATCTAACCCACGTTAACTTAATGCATAAATTATGTTCGGTATCCTTGTCAATGAAAGATATGAAGTAAGGGTGTAAGAATCCACAGTAGATTAYGTYCTTCAAGTCGCATGTAGCCGAGATCAGAGATGTTGTGAAGTATTTTCCCTTTCCTAGAATCTATTGCACAAAATTGTCACGCGAAGATGATGATACTGCTTCTTTTGGATGAATTCATAATAGATGAATAACATATGGCATATACCAAGGGAGATATAGACTTGGGCCTTTCCCTATTGCTAAATATCAAATCTTCTTAAAGACAATAAATTCAAAGAAATATGTGACATTCAATGAAACGTCCTCCATTTTTGGACTGCATATTGGATCTTGATGTATCTGCATGCTTCTGGGTGCAGGAAAAAGTGCAACCTATCATTTCCTCGAAGAGTATTTGTTCCCTGGTTGGCTGGCATGTACATCTGTGACTACTTGCAACCATCTGAGACGACCGAGGTCCACACTCGAGTCTTTTTTCCTTCTTTTTTCCCTCCTGCATTTGTCATCATGTTGCTTGAACTTGCTTGATTCAACTTTTTAAACTTTTAATTGAAGAGTATGAGAGTTTTTGTGGATGCACCGTTTTGTTTATGGTAAAATCCACATTTTTTAAAAGAATTTGTGAGATGAGAGAATTACATTTTAAATATATTTCTTTGCTGACGTGTGTTTCTAAACTTCAATGTAGGTTTTGAAAGAACATTGTACTGAATTAATGTCCATGGAAGCTCCAATGGATATGTCGACAGTTCTTGAACCAGAAATAGAGGCTCTTTCCCTCTCTGCAGAATCATTTTGGGATGTGGCCATACCCTTCCAATCGGCTGAGGCTTCTACAGAGAAGAACATAAATCATAACACGAGAAGTGGCAGTAACGTAATTTCGGGCAGCAAGTCRAGTGTTGTTAATATTACGGTGGCTGTTCTCGTCCTTGTCCTCGCAGTTATCATTGGCTTTTTGTTGGTTTCTATGATGGGATCATGATTCATCAACTTAAGACTCAACTTTGATATACAAATTTTGTTAGCCAATGCCAWTAGAGAGGATTATAGTTTTTTCATCGATTATGAGAATGGATTTTCAGWTAGTTATAGATGAATTCTTCTTTTCTACTTAATGCCCTATTGAACTTGTTAGTTAATGTTTTGTTTCTTTAACTATATAAAAAAAACTGGATATACTCAATATTTATATGAATTCAAAAATGATAAAATAATATTTTAAAATATATTTTAGAACAAATTAAAAACAGAAAATGAGATTAAATGAGCTTTAAATATCTTCATCCTGATCAGCATTACAAAATTCAGCTATTCATTTTTTTTTTAAAAAAAATCAATTCCCTCTTCTTTTATTCACTTGAAGATTGACTTGGATATTATTCTTTAATCCCTTCTTTGTGCTACTAGATCTCTAAGGTGTTTGTCAATCGTTAGGTACCTTCTTACTTACAATATTAAAAAATATATGATACCTATTTATTTATTTTTGAAAAAAAAACTCTCTCTTTTATGCATCCATCTCTTTTAATGACATTCATTATTGACCTAAATATTACGACTTTTATGACTAGTAAATACTTAAATATTATTTATGATGGATAGAATCATTAGTCCTTGTTACATTGCACTAAAAAAAAAAGGAATGCACGCACATGGAAGACATAAATTTTATTAGCTTTTCATCAAATCAATAATATAGGAGCCCACACTAATGAAATACAGACAAAAAACATGTACCTCGGAGATGAGAAGCCTCGACAATCTGAGTAGCCAACTCCATCAAAACGGATTGCAGGTGTGATCTAGCCTAATTCACGCCAAATAGCATTTTTGGAGTAACGAAGCCACCAAAAATGAAACGAACTAACAGCCTTTACTGGTACGATTGACGACGACATTTCAGGTGATCCCACGACGAACAAATAAACAGCACAAGCTTTTATCTTCTTCAAGCTACAACTTCAGTTGTTTGTAGCTTCTTTTTCTGGATGCTTCTCAGCGGCAACATCACTGGGAAGATCAAGGCCGTCGGGGGATTTCCCGGGGTAATTAGTCCTTGAGTAATCCGATCCTGTCATACTGCAAATAAAGAGTCAGATTGGATGGAGCCTAGAAATATGATATCCTGTGCTCCAAATAAAACTATTATACACTGCAGAAGATGAGAAGGTAATTAAACGAGAATTGGAAAAGAAACGTATTTACCCCCTATCAACCAGAACCAAGGATCGAAGCTCACAGTTTGAAAAACTGCATTATTACAAACTTGATGTATTAAAATTTGATAGTAGAGAACACATGCTGAGGTTGTTCAATCTTTTATTATATATATATATTTTGAAGTATTTTCTTATTGTGCTGCTTAAAAAGTTTCATTCTTATGAAAGTAGTGCTTACTATTTGGAGATTTCGCTCTCCATAGATGGATGGCAATCATTTCCAAAAACYTTCAGGAGCTCAAACAAGAATGCGCTGTGGGTGACAATTGCAATCTCTTTCTCCTTTYGAGTCCACAGCCTGGCAGGGCAGAAAACCAAGAGGTACAAAAAATGAGCTATGAATGAGAACAAAAAGAAGAAAAAGGTACAATAAGCAAGGTGAATGTAGAAACTGAGCTTAGGAGTGAAACAGTAGTTAATTAATTTTAACAAGAAGAGATTTTCAAAACATTAACAATMGTTCATTCTGATGAGAGGAAAAAGAACTTTTTGTTCAATGATCATATTTTATGTTCTTCTTAGTAGCAATTAGCATGACTATAGATCCTAATCCCCTACGGCAAGAATTTATATAATTATTTCGAAACATGGGTTGTTACTAGTAAATCAGGACAATTGAGATTTATATCTCGAGTTCAAAGTGATATTTTCAATTTGTACTTATGTTTCGAGTAAAAAACAATACAATTCAATGAGAACATCAACTTACACGACACTAATTGAAAATATAGTAAGAAAAAAGTTGACCTCAAATGACACAAAAACTAGGAAATATCACCAATGTCTGAACTAACTCATTGCCAACGTTACTTAACACAGATAGTCTTCTCTTTTTTCCAACTAATTACATACTTGGTTTCTTAATTTCCTAGATCAAGACTTTAAAAAATATGTAATCAAGCATATAGAAATTTCAAAGTAGTAAAACTAAAGAACACTGAGGTAAATGAAGGGGACATTTACCAATTCAGAAACTTCAGGCCCCTAGCTACAATTTGGTCATTCGACTCTCTTGTGTCTGGTTTCCACAGGATATCATCATCATGTTCAATCTACAGTTGATGGAGGAAGGTTTTATCAAAATAAATTGGATGTTGTGAACAGAGATGAAAACTACAGACAAGAAAAGTAACATAATCCTGTGATATGCATAAAACAATTTAACTCACCATTGAGAAATCAATTGCTGGGAAAAGAGACTGACACTCGCTAACGCTTCTCCTCTTATCACATGGATGAACACCCTGTACAAAGAATATATTCATTCGTCGTGAGAAAATCTGAAGAACATAGCAAAATCTTACCTTTTAAAGATTTCRTTCATTCAAGGTGAACCTAGAACTTGGCCATGTTTCAAGTTCTTGTCCAGCTTATATCCTCATGTATAATTAATAATTCTAGAAAACATTTCAAGTTCAGTGTTCAGCTTATATATATCCTCTTCCCTAAYCAACGTAATTATATGTGAGAATTTGCAAAGTTAATGATTCARAAGGCAAGAATATAGTTACTCTATGAGTTGAAAAAGTTACTGCCCACAAATATGTGTTAGTTTCATGTAGCATGAAATTATTCTAAAGCTCGTGAACATGCAATAGCCAGATGTACATTAAAATGAAACTGTAATGTTTCACTGCAACAGAGAAGTCATGAAATATCGAAATGAAAATTTACTCCAAGTTCCGAGTCGAATGCATAAAATATACCAAACGTTCCCTACAAAGCTCTACGGCTAAAAACGGCGGGCAGTTTAGACTTGAAATTGGCGGACGGTTGCTATCCCCTGCATTTGCAACCATTAATGGAGGAACATTTATACCATMTATGTAACTGTCACCACCAAAGGTTCCAACTGCTGTTTGCATAGTCCTACAGTGAAAAACCAGTGATAGTTGGAATAGGAAATGTTTGGTWAGTAGGGGCAGAAGAAGAAATTCCTGCATTTGGATATAAATTTTGTAACATAAAAGTTCCTTCCACAAAGCAGAAAGACTAGCTCAATCATCAAGAGTGAGAAGTAAGCATAAAAGCTATCCTTATCACAAGACAGAGGACTCAACATACAAGATGGAACAAATTCTCAATTATGAATCGATTTGATAGCTCAAATATTATTATTAATATTACCTTAAATTATTAATACGGTTCAATGTCGTCCAGATGCAATGCACCYCATTTAATTTACAACTGAAACATTATCATCGCAATGGGACATAATCTCAAGTTACTATGGATATCGAAGTTAAAAATTGTCATCTACCCTTGTCATAAAAAGGATGAGAATTTTTTTCAGGAAAAAAAAGATTATGGAAGTTAATATTCTTCCATTTATTGCTAGTACTGTTAATTTTAGTTCCTACCACCTTTTGCTTATAATATACGGAAAAAACATTATTAAGTAAAGTAATCAATTTGAATTAAATTTGATTTTTTAGATCTTAAGCAATGATTGAATTAAAGAAAAGGAGGTTCAAAATTTTGTGCCTTAAATGAAGGCATGGACCATAATTATCCAAGTGATTTGATCTTAGGATAGAAAAAAGTCCATAGATCCTTCTGCCATACTATCTTACGTAAAGTTGTACTGTATACAACTAGGCACTGAATATAGTTTAATCGACACTAAATAACTTTCTATTATATAGATGTTATATCAATTACATAAATGTAATGCTAATTTTAGTGGTCTAATTCTATGTCATTTCATAATTCATGCTGAGTTTATGGAACTTAAGAACCGTTGAACTAAAGTACTCCCACCACGAGAGTTATGTAAGTATTAGCATCTTAAACACTAAAAAAAACCACGAGAAATTGAATGTATCAACATTTGACAAGCGTATAAAGTAAGCAAGCAAATAATAGTACTTAGGATTGGGACCACAAGTCCTTGTAATAATCTTGGCTTCCACTGATTTGATACCTTAACAAGGGGGAGGTGATGACTAACTCAACTGTCTTAGAAAGTCCACATGCTTGCACATGCTTGCGCAGATTGTCAACCTGTTTCAGTGTCCAGGGAAAGTAATATTTTGTGCTTTAGAACCAATTGTTGCTACATGTTTTATGAAGATAATAAATGATTAAATTAGCTACACGAATCTTTTCAGAACAGTGAATCAGTCTAGATAACACGAGTACAATTTGATCAGAAATTAATAACCATTCTTCCCTATGCAAAGATTTTATTTCAGTATGCAAAGATTTTATTTCAGTATGTAGGCTCATGTACCTGTTGCCATCCTAAAGTGGAAAGTCGAGCATCAAAATAATCATAAGATAAAAGCTCACTGTGATCCCTTTCACTAGCAACATTATGAATTCCCTGTGCATGCCTCACCTGTAAATTTAATACAAAAGTTCAAATKCTTGAAAAAATGCAAACAGAAAGCCATGAGCTACACGGTGTACAAGCAACAGATTCAAATTCACGAAAAACAAATCATTGACCGTAAATGCTCATCAGAAGAGAAGAGTGCGAGAGAGAAAATATCTATTGTTACAAACCAGATGAATAGTTTTACAACGGTGCGACGGATACAAACTTAGACCTCCGGTAGCGTCCATGTATCTGTAAATCAACAAAACAGCAAGCATAGACAACAAAAACAAATTAAGAAGCATAGAAGTTAGAACGATGACAAAAAGGTAAAATAAAGATCAAGAGCCGAAATGCAGAGTAGAATACAAATTTATTCGAGGTATCGCACTTCAAAAAATCAAAATCAGAATCAGAATCGACCAGAACCACAGCAAATAACAAAGAAGCTCAATCAACAAAAGGAATATAATCCACATCAACAATCGCAACTATTTCATTTCGATCAGTCTCTGGAACTAAAAAACAAAAAAACAAAAAAAAACTCCATCTATATACTACCAGACCGCAGAGATCAACAAAAACGTTATAGTGATTGAAGAAATAAAAGAATCAGAGAGAAAGTTGAGCAACCTGAAGATGAGCAAGCTCCGAGACGAAGGGGACGGGAGAGAAATGGCGCGGTAGTAATCGGAATGTAGCTCAAAGCCTTAAACACGTTAGAAAATTTTGGGGATTATGTATGAGAAATTCAAAAGCGCGCGGGTTCAGTAATCCGACAACGGGCCCGAAGGAGAACCGAATCGGCATAATCAGTTCTTGAGCGTAGGCTACGACCAGTCCTGGAACCACGTGAAGGAAAGCAAATTGTGCTGTTGATTTGAAGCATGTAGGGTAGCGTAGCGTCACCGACATGTCGTGCTAAGCGCCATTTCGCGCCAACCACTTGACGGAACCTGGCGGGAACCGTTGGTTGTGGACCAGTGGCTCAACTACAACCGGTGGATCGACGATCGTCTGCGGCATGAGCAAGTACTGTGAATAGCTCCTGTGCGACACGTGTTATACGAGTGACTTTTGGGCTTTCTCCGGCCCGGTCCAACAATTTTTATAGGCTTTTCAGGTGGACACGTGTCTTGAATCGTACTGTTTTGGATATATTAAAGAACAGTAACTTGATGTGACCATTAATTAAATGTATAGTCGAGATCTGCAAGATTATCTGTCCCGGTAGGAGATTGGCAGTTAAGAAGTACAATCCAGTTTCGTGATTTCAACCCTAAAAATTAATTATAAAATTTACAACTTTCATCTCTTATCCTTTCGCTTTCGCTATAAACGGTGGAAAAACCTCAGGTCTCTAACAGAAGCATAAGATGTCTAAACTGTTTAGCTAAACTCACATCAATTTCTATTATATTACTCAATTTTTTTAAATAATTTAATGGTTAAATGTTAAAATTTAGAAAATATGAATTAAGATATTCATTTTTAAAAATTTAGAGACTACAATAAATAAAAATAGAAATACAAAGATTAAAATAAATCAAGATAAAAATAGTATTTTAAACATAATTTAATAAAAAGGTTATATGTATCTGGATAAAGGTTGAGATTCAAGTTATGAAATTTGTTGAGTTAATACTAACATAGTTTTTTTTTCCTTTTCTTTTTTGGTAAGTTTGGAGATTAGAAAAGAATATTCGTCAGCTTGAGGACTATAAAAAACCAAAAAGTTGAAAAACCAAAACAGTACATTGTTTTAAAAAGTATTATCTGTTTTTGGTACAAAAATAACATTACACGTATCATTAGCATTTTGTTTGAAGAGAAAAGATCAATAGTTTTCTTTATTCAATGCGCATCAATTAAAGCAGATATAATAATAAAAGTGACATAATTATGCAAACTTTTCTTGCTGTAATACATGTCTTGGAGAGTGGATTTGGGTTGGTAGGAGGTTCATCAAGACAAAAAGAATCTGTTGCTCTTCAAGTGCATACGATTAAAACCATTCATGTCATTTCCATAACTTTTTGGAACACTACTGCATTGCACGAGATCATTATGCCTCATTATTCCTAATAAAGCAATCACATCTATCCACTTCCTATTATTGGAAGATAAAAATTATACTGGATTGAAAATGGTCTTCTTTTAATTATGATATCAATTTTGGTGTAAAAGCTGGCCTGCAATGCAATGGATGGATGAGATGCAGACAAAAACGTGTACCTCTAAATCCAGTTGCAGCAAGAAGCCTCAACAATCCATTGTAGATAGTAACTTCCCCAGATGGATAGGGTCAAAATTCATGAAAATTGAATTCTGAAAAACTTTGTTGGAGTAACAAAGCTTCCAAAGAAGGAAAAAGAGAGCAATTAGAAATCTTTTGGTGATACTACTTAACTACCGCCTCGGATAATGTCTCACACTTTTCTCAAAATGATGCTATGTATCTTCTTCAAGCCACATCTTCATTTGTAACTCCGTTCTCTGGATGGTTCTCAGCTGCAACATCACTGGGAAAATTGAGCCCTCGCGGTAATTGTCCTGGAAAATTGGTCGTTGAGGATTCCGACCCGATCATACTGCAAATAACGAACCAAATTGATGGAGTCTAGGATACATAATACCTGAAGGAAAGGAATGATGCATTGAGGAATGTACTTACCTCCTATCAATAAGAACAAAGGAACGGAGCTCACAGTTGGCAAAACTACATAATAAAGTGAATCTCTATAGTTAAGATTAAAATAAAATAAATATATATAAATAAAGAAAAAGGATTACATTTCAAGCGTTAAAATCAAATGCAGGAGCATGTGGCAACAGTAATTTTATTCCTACGGAATCGCAGCAATTCTCTGAACTCTCCATTTGATATCAATAGTAGAGATTAAATGCATTTGATGTGGTATATTTAGATGTTTTCACTTTATCGTGCATTCATCTCTAAGAAGCACAGACAATTTAGTTCGAGTAACGTGTCCTTGTTGAACACTTGATACTTCAATAATTATTGGACACATATCAGACATTTATTTATTTAATTATTTTTTTTGTAAAAAGTCTAGTTTTTAACCCAACAAAAGAAGTTAAAGGCTCCAACAAGATCAAACCTAAGGAATAATCACAAAAATACGACAATAAAGTCCAGAGGGAACATGAATCTAAACAAAGGGTCCTCCAGCACGAGAACAATGGATCCTCCTCCCTAGAACTCTCCACCATTCTAAATTTATGTCCTTTGCCGTGTTCTTGTCCTAATTTTTTAGAAAATGATGTGTCAATGTATTTATGTTGTATCCGTGTCTTGTGTCAAGATCCATGCTTCTTAATAAAATATTAGTCATCCCATAGGTAGGAAGAATATTACAGTTTGCTGTTTCAGTTGTTAGTGAGGTGCAAAACTACTGAATTTCAATATTTGGTGACAACTATCTTGGACTTGATTAGGGTAATGCTTACCGTTCACAGAATTCATTCTTTATAAATGGATGACTGTCATTTCCAAATGCATGCAATGAATAAAATAAGAATCCACTGTGGCTGACAACTGCGATCTCCTTCTCCTTCCGGATCAGCAACCTGGCCGAAGTAGAAAACCAAAAGATCCAAAAATCAAGGAGCCATCACATGCCAAAATTACACCCAAAAGACATGAAATTCTGAAGCAAAATAAATATTTTTTCTCACATATAATGCATGTAACAGGGTATACAATAACAATAGATTCAAGCAACCAGAACCTAAATCAAGCTGTAATGAGCCTCAGATTATGAAGATGGGTCAAAGAAGGTTGGAATTGCAACTATTGTCAGGACAACAGAATTTCCATGTATCTCCACATTGGTTGTTCACTTTGACATAACGCTCGTGATTTTGCTTTTGGTTTTACAGAAAAGACTCAAAAGGTCTCATATTGACGAAAATAATTGACCTCACCAATATATCATGAATCTCCCCTTGTTTGCACTCTTAACCATCCTCCCCTCAAACATAGTACCAGTTGTATCTTTCCTCGAATAGCCATTCATTCATCCACTCCTAATAAGTAACGAGAGCTTGCTTTTATCTATGGCTAGTAGCACACCTAGATAGAGCACAACCATAGAATCTATGGTGGCAGGTTGCTTTTATCCAAAGCTGCAACACACACAAATAGAACACGAGCATAGATCACATTGTGAGAACCTGATGTCAACCACAAGTGCACCATTAATCTCCTCCCCTCAAACAAAGAAACCTTCTTCCTATCAATCTACCCGACCTAATAGGGCTATCTTTTCTTAGACTCCAATAAATTTTGTTCGATCTTGGAGGATTTCACCCATGCAGTTAGGTTTAGACTATGGTTCTGATACTACTGTTAAGTATAACGGAATCCCCACCTATCTCCACAATGGTTTGACACTTTCCACTTTGAGCATAACATTCATGGCTTGGTTTCACCCAAAAAAATCCAATACTAATAGGGATAATTGTCCTCGCCTATATATCATGAATCTCCCGTTTATCTAGATAATGTGAGACTTTGTTTGCACTATTTAACTCCTATTTTGTAATTTATTCAAGTCGAAGGAATGCAAAAAATTGAAGATTATTTATTGAACACCACCTTCGTCCCAAACAAAAGGTGCAGATAACAAATTCAAGCACATAATAAGATATCTCCCGAGCCCAAACAAAGGAACCAACAAAAGTTTCCAGTTGTAATCTATAGGGAGAATAGTTTAGAAATCATAAGGTGCAAACAAATAAGTTAAAAAAGGGAAACATCTCCATATTACTAACTCTATCCTACCACTATTAATTGCTGATAACAGAATTTGCCGAGGAAATATAGCTAACATCTTAAAACTGTCTCATTGTCAACATTAGAATAAGCAAGTACTATCATGTCAACATTAGAATAAGCAAGTACTATCATATTTACCTTTTTTTAGACCTACTTATTTATTGAGAATGCGACGAAAGTCCCACATCAGCTAGATAAGATAAAGATTATGGATATATAAGTGAGAGACGACATTACTATTAGACTTATGCCCAAAGTAGATAATATTGTTCCATTGTAGAAATGTGGAAGGGACAGCATCTCTAACATTAGTATATCATAGTGTCCGAGAGAAGAATTTGCAAACAAATCTAACCAAACAGACATCTGATGGTAGAAAAAAACTAAAAACAAAAAGGACGTAGAGATAAATGAAGTACACATTCACCATTTCAGAAACTTCAGTCCCCTAGCAGCAACTTCGACACGGGTATCTCTAATGTCTGGCTTCCACAGGATATCTTCATTATGTTCAATCTAGAAAAATTAAAGCAATCTTTTCTTTAATCAAAATAAGTTAAAACTTTACAATGGAGATGAAAATAGTCACAAGAAAAAGCAACATATTCCATCGATAAGAACAAAACAATGCAACTTACCATTGAAAAATCAATTGCAGGGAAAAGAGACCGATACTCCCTAATGCTTCGCCTCTTGTCACATGGATGAACACCCTGTACAATGAATATAATAGTGATTTGTCATAAAAAAAAATTTGAAGAATATTTAAAGTGCCAAAGAAAAAAAAAATGCCAGAAATTCCAATTGAGTGATAGCCGTGCAAAAAAAAAAAAAAACTCAAATATGATACTTATGCTGATAGAAAGATTTATTTGTTGTAATGTAAACCAAGAACTTGGTTCAAGTTCTTTGTCAACCTATTCCTTTTCCATCTGTAAGAACTTACAGAGTTTAAATATATGCATCAACTACAAGGCAAAATATGAAATTATTTTGCACGTAAAGGAACATAATTCTAGAGATCTATTTGAGTTCATTCATAGCTTAAATATTTTTCTTTAATTAATGTCAACATGCAAGAATTTATACAGTTAAAAAAACATGCATAAAATCCAAGAATTTTCACTTGATATCATTACAAACATTTGAAATTTGCATTAGAGGGAAAAAATTATAGAATTCGTGAACACACAAAAGAGAGATGCCCATTAAATACCAATTTTAATGTTTCAATGCTGCAGAGAAGGCGAAAACTATGATAATGAAGATCAAAAACTTTTGAGAAGGACTCGAATTTATACAATATTTTCCCGACAATCCTCTACTGCCAAAAATGGCGGGCAGTTCAAACTTGATATTGCTGGACGGTTGCTATCCCCTGCATTTTCCACCATTAAGGGAGGAACATTTATACCATCTGAGTGTTCTTCACCACCAAAGGTTCCAACTGCTGTCTGAATGGTCCTACAGTGCGTACCATGATGGTTAAAATTGTAAATGTTTGATTAATATGGGGTAAAACATGAAATTCTCCCATTTGGGTCAAAAAGAGAACCAAATTTTATTAGATGCAAATGCCCTCCACAAATTAAAGACACAAGCTCAATCATCCAGAGGCAGATGAAAGCATAAAGCTAATATATTATAAGATACGAATCAACATGCTAGTTGGCAACTTGGAATTTAAGGGGTCAAGAATATATAAACATAATCTCTCAAAATACACAAAACACATTAAAACATCAGTCCCAAATATATACAGAAAATTAGAAAGAAAATGAGCTTGGCTTATAGCTTAACTACTCTTGAAATACCTTTTCCATTTCATGGACGAGACCGGAACAAACTATCCTAGATACAAAATAAGAACTCGGGAAAAAATCTTGGATATATTGACATCTGAAAAATTCATAACGTGGGCAGGCAAATAATAATACCGATAACTGCAACTCATCGTATTAGTCCTAATTCCCATTGTTTAAGGTTGGCAAAGGCTTGTTATGCTTTGACTCAAAACATTTTAGGTATATTCAACTATATTCGATGAAATTCTGCACCATTTTCTGCAAGCTAGAGTAAATAAATAAAAAGCTTTCATAAATTGTTCCCTTGCAGAAACTCAAACTCCATGAGCCCCAACGATTAGACCAAAAATCTTTTACGTATAGCAAAGGTTCCCCCAGCCCACAACTTGTATCAAATCTGCTTCTTAAAATGTATCGTAGTTACTAAGATGCAATACCTTAACAGGGGGGATGTTATTACCAACTCAATTCTCTTAGAAAGTCCACATGATTGTACATGTTTGCGCAGATTGTCAACCTGTTTCAATACCCAGAAAAAAAAAATCCATTATTTGCAGTTCATTGGATTTCAGAACAAATTGTGGTTTCATATTTCTTCTAGATGATAAACAATTAAATAAGCCTCATGGAACTTTTTAGAGTGCTGAATCAATCATGATAACAGAGTAAGGTTACAACTTACATCAGCTCATCCCAAATTCATTACTCTTATTCCTATGTAAAGGTTTAATTTTAGCACCCAGCTTTAAATTTTTAGTTTGAATAGTATTAGATATATATATATATTTTCTCTTCTTCTTCTTTTTCCAACAAGAAACTGAGAGAAAAATATATTCAAAAGAATAAACAGAAAGAAACAGCCTTGGGGCAGAGACGGGGAGACCCTGCCCAAAACTACCAAAAGAAACAAGGTGGAAATTAAAAAATTAGAGCCTTCTAATCACTATAATTACAAAAGAAATTTGTATGAAAATCAACAAAAAGAAGTGTGTTGAACACTATTACAAAAAAAAAACAACGAATATGACTTGTCTTCAAACTTATTAGAGATTCTGGGAAAGATAGTTATATATTTTTTTAATACAACACGTGGGGCGAAGAATTGAACTCACAATTTCTTGGTTGAAGATATATGTCAATTACTGTTAAACTATGCTCGTTTTGGCCGAAAAAATAGTTATATAAACAAGCGATTACCTGTCGCCACCCTAGAGGGGTAAGTTGAGCATCTAAATAATCATAAGATAGATATTCGTTCAAGTCCTTCTCACCTGCCACATTATGAAATCCCTCGGCATGCCTCACCTATAAATTTAATTTCAATAAAATTCAAGTGCTCGGAAAATACAAACACAAAGCCATGAACCCCACGACGCACAACAGTAGATTCCAACTAAAAAAAAATAATAATAATAAATGTTGAAGATGTTCATCAATCACGAAGATGTTCAATACCTTACAGATTACAGGAGAAGGCTTAACTACTACTAAAGAATTAGTTACAATAAGGTTTGCCTAACTGAAATGTAAAGACAAACTATGTAATATCACCTTTAACAATAAATAAATAAACCGAGAACCTTACATACCAGATGAATAGTTTTAGTGAGGTGGGATGGATACAAATTTAGACCCGCTGTAGAGTCCATGTCTGTAGATCAGGATAATAGCAGGTAAACAAGTCAAAACAAGACAACTTAGGACTAAAGAGAGAAAAAAGGGGGAAAAAAAGTTCTACACGGTCGAAAATGAAAGGCAACAGCATAATCTTACAAGACGATCCAATTAAGCAGATCAAAATACAATTCTGTCGAAATGAAGAAAGATCAGAGCGAGAGAGAGAGAGAGGGGCACGAAGACTGATGTACCTGAAGAGCGGGAAAAAGAGCGGATAACAGAGAAAAAATAAGGTGGCGAAGGGAGTCGCAGTCCGGTAGTGAAGAACTTTGACACACTCCTATAAAACGGGAAATGTGATGAGTAGGAGCAATAATGTTTGTTGTCATTACAGTGGAAGCCGAAACAGAGTCGTTAGAGCCGCGCGTGGATTGAGAGCTCCCATGGTACGGAAACGAGTGGGGCTCTAAAATGAATAAGTTTTTAGTAAAAATGGCCGGCAGTTGCTATCCCCTGCATTTGCTACGATTAATTGGATAACACATTTATACCCTCTATGTAACCGTCACCACCAAAGGTTCCAACTGCTTTGCATAGTCCTACGGTGCAACCAGTGATGGTTGAAATATAAGGAAATGTTTGGTTAGTAGGGGCACAAAAAGAAATTCAGGCATTTGGATAAAAATTCTGTAAGATAAAAGTTCCTTCCACAGAGCAAAAATACTAGCTCAATCATCAAGCGGGAGAAGTAAGCATAAAAGCTATCCTTATCATAAGACAGAGAGCTTTGTCCGGGTGAATAAACTCTATAAATTGATGTTGCAACATATAAAAAACCTACCGAAACAATCAATTATCTATATGAAGTAAACAAGAGCCAATAATAATACTAAGGCTCGGGCCACGAGTCCTTGATTATAATCCTATTTTTTTAAGATTGGCAAATACTTCGTTTACAAATAACAAAATTATCTTGGCTTCTACTGATTTGATACCTTAACAAGGGGGAGGAGATGACTAACTCAACTGTCTTAGAAAATCCACATGATTGCACCTGCTTGCGCAGATGGTCAACCTGTTTCAGTGTCCAAGGAAAGTAATATTTTGGATCTTAGAACCAAGTGTTGCTACATGTTTTATGAAGTGATTAAATTAGCTACACGAATCTTTTTAGAACAGTGAATCAGTCTAGATAGTATGAGTACGATTTGATCAGCATATCATGAATTAATAACCCTTCTTCCCCATGCAAAGGTTTTATTTCAGTATGTAGGCTCATATACCTGTTGCCATCCTAAAGTGGACAGTCGAGCATCAAAATAATGATAAGATAGAAGCTCACTGTGATCCCTTTCACTTGCAACCACTATGAATTCCCCGGGCATGCCTCACCTGTAAATTTAATACAAAAGTTCAAATGCTTGAAAAAAATGCAAACGGAAAGCCATGAGCTACACGATGTACAAGCAACAGATTCAGATTCACGAAAAACAAATCGTTGACCGTAAATGCTTATCAGAAGAGAAGAGTGCGAGAGATAAAATATCTATTGTTACAAACAAGATGAATAGTTTTACAACGGTGCGACGGATACAAACTTAGACCTCCGGCAGCCTCCATGTATCTGTAAATCAACAAAATAGCAAGCATAGACAACAAAAACAAATTAAGAAGCATAGAAGTTAGAACGATGACAGAAAAAAGTAAAATAAAAATCAAGAGCCGAAATGCAGAGTAGAATACAAATTTATTCGAGGTATCGTACTTCAAAAAATCAAAATCAGAATCAGAACCAGAATCGTCGAGAACAACAACAAATAACAAAGAAGCTCAATCAACAAAAGGAACATAATCCACATCAACAATCGCAACTATTTCATTTCCATCAGTCTCTGGAACTCAAAAACTCCATCTATATACTACCAGACCGCAGAGATCAACAAAAACGTTATAGTGGTTGAAGAAATAAAAGAATCAGAGAGAAATATGAGCAACCTGAAGATGAGCAAGCTCCAGACGAAGGGGACGGGAGAAAAATGGCGCGGTAGTAATCGGAATGTAGCTTAAAGCCTTGAACACGTTAATATATATATGAAAAATTCAAAAGCGCGCGGGTTCTGTTGGGAAAATAGTGGAGCCAAAACAAGGGAGTTTATGGGGCAAAAATGATATATGTGTATAAAACTTTAAAATCAATCAAAATTAACTCTCAATAATTAATTTACATTAATTAATTTACCTTTTATTAAGTTAAAATAATGTAAATTAACCTTTTATTAAGTTAAAATTATAAAATTATTTTAAGCAATGTTTCAATTTAAGTTTCACTCGTTAATACTTATTATTTTTGTTAATACTTATTATTTGATGTGCTTAATAAAATTAATTATTTTCATTTTATTAATGGCATAAATTAATTACATTTTTATAAAAAAAATTAAGTATATATTTTAATAAATTAATTTATTACAATAGAATAATTAATTTAGTACATCATCAGTAAAATTTTAATGCTGTTTTATTAATTATAAATTTAATTTAAATATTTTTACTAATTTTAATTAATTAATTTGAATAAAATAAAATAAATAGTTTATTTAAAATAAGAGTGCTAAGAGTTTGACACAAAACCATAGACAAATCTATGAAACTGGGAGGGAAAAGAAAACCTTTGTCAATAGGAATAAGGGATGTCTGATGAGTTGGAAAAATTTTCAAATCTGTGTAACAAATTAAGACTTTACTTGCCTATACTCATTTACACCCAGAAAACACCCAACCCAACGGCCCCTTAGGAGCTCAGGGTCGTTGTTGCCTCCCTCATGCAATACAATTTTTAATTTCTCTAATTTCTCCGATCGTGCTATTCTCTCCACTTTATTGATTCTTAGAACAAAGACAAAACAAAAGTCATTAAGAAACTCAAAATCTATAGTTGAGATGTGGAGAAAAATATGAGTTTTTTCATGCTTGGACAATTTAAATAATGTTAATAATTTAATGCTAGTTGCTTTGATTTTTAAATATCACAACCTTGATACTTTTCAAATTATTGATAATAATTGCATTAACTATGAATAAAAGATAAAAGTCAAAGCGAGCATAGCTTAGTAATTGACATATAGTTCGAACCAATAGATTGTGAGTTCGAATCCCCTCCCCCACATGTTGTACTAAAAAAAAAGATAAAATATATTTAAAAATAATATATGTTGAGCATAGGAGAATGATTTTAAATTAGAGATGTGAGATTCGAACTCATGATCTATTGGTTAGAGAGAGAAGTCAATTATCGCTCAATTAAGATCATGTTGCAAAATAAATTAATGATCAAATCCACTCTTTTCTAAATTGAAATTAATATAAAGAAATATTATATATAATAGAAAACTACTAAATAAACCATTATGTCAACTAAAATTTATCATTACAGTGGTAACATACATATGAACCTATAAATATTTTAAAAAACTTTTATCATATATTATTTTACCTTATTTTTATGTATTATATCCCTAAATCAAATTCCTGGATCCGCCACCATTGATCAAGACTATATAGGTTAAATAGGGCAAAAAAGTATTGACAATTGCAATGGTCATTGTAATTTCATCTTTTACTTTTAGTTCATTATTAACTATTGTTTTAAATTAATTACTAATAATTAATATAAATATATATTTGAAACATGAAAAGATACAATAATACATTGAGTCTTTCAACCAATGTGTGCTCTAAAACCAACAAATCCAATAATTCATGTACTCCCAGAAAAACAAAAACAAACAAAAAAATTTTCAAGTTAAGACCTTTTAATATATTATAGAGGACATAAACTCTTCCTAGATGAAACTATATATACTACATAATATTACATAAAAAGTAAATCCTATATAATATTGTAAAAGGAAAAAAACAGACTCGGGACTTGGATTTGCCCCAATTAATAGTGTCAAATGTTGATGCATAAATTTAGATTCGTATTCTGATGATGAAAGCTTCTGCAAACATCTGCRCACACAAGAGGGAGTTTTCTCGAATTGGTTTGGATGGAGCGGCTCAATTGGATCCGATCAACTCAGGACTAGTCTAGTTTGGTGGTCTAACCTCAACGTCATTTAGTCCGAATGGTTTGACCCGTGTCACTTTCTTAACTTTCGTTCATGAGAATTTTATGGGATCATTTCCTAATAAAACAATCACATCTATCTTGTTCCTTCTATTTGAAGACAAAAATTATATATGAAATAGAAAATGTTCTTAATTTTATTAAACGGAATAGAAAAGGTCGCCTGTAATGAAACTGGCACATAAGATACAGGCAAATACATGTACTCGAATAGAAAAGATGGCCTGCAATGAACTGACACATAAAATACACGCAAATACATGTACTCCCTGAAAGACACAGCTGGACACATTTACTCTAAATCTAAAGTCTCAACAATCCCAAAAGATAATAACTTTGTGAACAAAATTTCTTAGAATTCAACAAAGCTCTCAAAGAAAGGAATAAGAAGGTAATTAGAAATTTTTATTGATCCCACTTAACTACTTCTTAGGATAACATTTCAGGCGTTTCTGAAATTCCGGATTCTTCTTAATTGCAATGTCGACAGGAAGATCGAGCCCTCGCGGTATTCCTCCCGGGAAATTATTCGAGGAGTCTGACCCGATCCTACTGCAAATGGTAAACCAATTTGATGGAGTCTTAAATCATAATACCCAAAGAAAACAATGATCTATCGAGAAATGTGCTTACCTCCTATCGATAAGAATAATGGAACGAAGCTCAGCGTTGGCAAAACTGCATAATAAAGTTAATCTGATCTTTAGTCCAGATTAAAAAAAAGAAAAACTAAATTTCAAGCCCTAAAATCAAATGTAGGAGCTTTGACAACACTAATTTATATGGTATCCCAATACTTCTCCTAAGCTCTCCCTTTGACATCAAATAATAGAGATTAAATACATTTGATGTCATATATTTAAATACGTGCCTAAGTTGGAAACTCCAACACTTGTTGAAAAATGACGTTGTACTCATATTTTTTAGATCCTTAATAAAATATCAGGGTAATGCTTACTGTTCGCGGATTTCACTCTGTATAAATACATCGCAATCGTTTCCAAATTCACGCATCGATTCAAATAAGAATCCACTATGACTGACAACCGCGATTTCCTTCTCATTCAGAGTCAACAGCCTGGTCAAAGTAGAAAACCAAGAGAGAGAAATTAATTAAGGAGCTATCAAATGCCAAAATTGCCCCAGACTACATGAAATACTAGACCAGAATAAATCTAATCGCAGAAAAAACTAAAAGCGAAAAGAAGACACCATTTCAAAAACTTCAGTCCCCTAGAAGCCATTTCGTCCGGGGTCTCAAGGATGTCTCGCTTCCACAAAACATCTTCATCATGTTCAATCTAGAAAAATAAAAAACAATGTGAAAATAAGTTAGAACTTTATAATAATGGAGATGAAAAAATAGTGACAGAAAATTAGCAAGATATTCCAATGAAACTTGCCATTGAAAAATCAATGCCAGGGTAAAGAGGCCGATACTCGCTAATGCTTCGCCTCCTACAATTTGGAAAAACGCCCTGTAGAATGAAGGAATATAATATTAACGATTTTTTTTTTCATAAAATCCAAGAATATATTTAAGACTAAATATAATATATGTCATTGGAAGATGTTAGTGTTCCTAAAAGAACTTGTTCAAAAAAAAAAAAAAGTTTTCCTAAAAGAACATTTGAGAAGTTGGAGTTGRAGAATTTGTACAATAACTTCCCGACAATCCTCAATTGCTAAAAATGGTGGGCAGTTCAAACTTGATATTGCTGGACGGTTGTTATCCCCTGCATTTTCCACCATTAAGAGAGGAACATTTAAATCATCCGATGGCTCTTCACCACCGAAGGTTCCAACAGCTGTTTCAATAGTCCTTCAATTTAAATTGCATTTGAAATTGTAAATAAATATATAATATAAGCCTACGAGTCAGAATTATGCAATAACAATACGGTACCTTGACATAGGGGATGTGATGACCAACTCAATTTTCTTAGAAATTCCACGTGATTGTACATGTTTGCGTAGAGTGTCAACCTGTTTCAATAAAACACTCAGGAGAGCATAAAGAAGAGTTCAATTTAATAAACGTTCATCAAAAGGAAATGAAAATTTTGATTCTCGGTTTTGTCTGAATGGGATAGACCATGGGAAAAATAGTATATATAAATTAAAGAAGCCTGGAAGCGATTACCTGTTCCCATCCTAAAGGGGTAAGCCGAGCATCAAAAAACTCCTCAGATAGAAGAAATTCTAAACTCTCATTCAAATTATGAAATCCCTGGGCATGTCTCACCTACAGGGGCAAATCCACCATTTCATGTCAGTGGAGCACAATTCCTATAAACATAAAGGAAAACGACCAAATTTAACCTCGATTTCAATTACAATAAATTACACCTTCAATTCGTATAAACATAAAGGAAAATGATCCAATTTAACCTCGATTTCAATTACAATAATTTACACCTTACACTTATATATGTGTTGCAATCTTGACTTTAAAAGTTAAAAGTGTAGCAAATTTTACATTCTAATAGATATTCATTTGAAAATTTATTGAAAAAATAATCTCATATGTGTCGAGGTATAAAAATATATATTTGATATGAAATTGGAATAATTTAGACAAAAATGACAGTAGAGTTGTTTTTTTTTTTTAATGGTAAGTTTTATGGTAGAGTTATTTAATTGTGAATTTTGTACATTAATCAAACTAGCTTTTCATCAAATTAATGAGTTTTTTTTATAGAATATTTGTTGTGTTTTTTTTTAATTATTTAAACTAATGGGTGAATAAGTGAAAATTGAATAGAGTCTAAAAATTGCAACACTTATCTAAGTTTATGGTTTAATTTGATGAAATTAAAAATTTATGGTAAAAAAAATGTATACAACTTACCCAGTTTTTATGGGTATAAAATGAATTTTTTTTTCCAAATATAATCTTAGACGCAGTTATTATAAACACAGTTTGATATTACTTCGTCTAAATAAAATATGATTGAGTTATTTTTTATATAAATAGTTTAAAGAATAAATTAAAATAAAATATATATATTCTATAGGTTTATAATTATTTCGTATTTTATCTAAGGGATAAATTTAAATTTATTAGTAGAAATATGGTCCACACTGTAAATTTACCCGATATAAAAATCTAAATTATTTACTTAATTTAAAAAATATATAAAAATATCAAATATGCACATATTACAAAAAAAAAAAGAAATAAAAAAACAAAAACCTAGTAGATGAGTCACCTGTAGACCTAAATTTCAATGAAACTAAAATACAAGTGCATAGATGGAAGAAAATATACAATGTTAATATTAAGAAAATATACCATGTTAATATTGTTAGAGCATACCAGATGAATAGTTTTAGTGCGGTGGAATGGATACACATTTATAGCCGCTGCAGCGTCCATGTCTATTGTCTATCATTAGATCAATATAATATTAATTATTAATAGCAAGTAAATAATTAAAAAAATATTGATTTAATGTCAACATGAGTTAAAGTCAGTAATAATAAGTATCGGTCTTTAACCAATAGATCAATCTCCGCTCTACAGTTATAATATATAAAAAAATAGAAAAATTGATTTGATGATTTGATGTACCTTGAATTGAAGGGAGAGAAAAAGAGCGAATAGTAAAGTAGGAAGAAGTCTGAGGACTCGATAATTTTTTACACGCTTCTTTGGAGTAAGAAGTGTGATGGCTATGAGTATATATAATAATAATATTTTTATGGACACGTGTGAGGCTTTAAAAAAATTGGCATCGGCAATATCCATACATTTTTTACATTTATTTTTAAAAACAAGGAAAAATATTATGTCTCCAGGCTAATCTAATCACTATTATTTTTTTTAGAAGGGGAGAAAATCATAAAATTAGATATTTTTTCAAATTTTTAAAAATTAATAATCCATCAAATTTTTATTGGTGGTTAATATGAAGATTAAAAAAAAAAAAAGTATCTCTACATTTACCTGGTATATGTAGATTAGCATGATTCACGTGAATGCTAGCACATGTTATTCATGTCAATGTTGAATCTTGATATTGAAGATATTGTACCAAACAATAATTTTTTATAAATAAGAAATATTAAGATATATTCACATATTTCATGGACATTTTATTTAAGTGAATCTAATTTTTTTTTTCTTTTTAATATTCACCCCTTCCTTATCCATTTTTCTCTCATTTCCTTCTAACTTTATCTCTCACGTCTTCTTTCATCGCTCACTTTTTTTTTTCTTCTTTGTATAAGACCTATTTCATGTGGATTTTTAAAAGTTTCTTTGTTGATGCTTCCGTTCCTTGTTTTTATTTATTAACTTTTAATAAAGAAAAATAAAACTAGATGACCCAAAACACTTCTGAATTGAAAAATGATAAAATAATATTTTTATTTATATTTTGGAAAAATTGAAGATGAGAATGAAAAAAATAAGAAACTTGTTTTAGTTGTTTCCAAATGTTCTAAACAATTTGAAAATATTTTTTAAAAAATTAGAACAAAAAATATAGATAGTTGTCAAAGGTTCCAAGTTTCCTAATAAAAATATAACGGAGTAACAAAAAAAATGAGAAAAATATCCCATGGGTTCAAAATTAAAAAAAAAAGGGAAAAGAAAGTAAAAAAGGAAGGAGAAAGAGATAAGTGTTGGAAGGATAAAGAAATTAAAATAATATTATTATTTATAACAAATTTGGCATGACAAAATGGATAAGACAAGGAAGAGGGAAATATCTTTGGTGTGTGGCAATGAATTCACTCACATGAGGAACAAAAATGAAGAGAAAAGATGAATTATTACTCAAAAACAACAAGAAGGTACATTGATCTTATTGGAGAGAAATGAATGTCTATATATATATATATATACACTTTTTTTAAAACAAGAATGAATGTACTTAATTATACAATTGATTTAAACTTTCACCCTTAAATTTAGTGTTTACCAAAGAATGGAAGATTTTTTTTTATTTTGAAATGTTTTTTTCTATTATCCAAGAGTCGGCGACCCTTTGACCTTTACGTCCCTATACTTGGGATATGCGCATTGTCTCCATACCTGTAATGCATGGAGTCCCACTTGATGGAAGTTGCGTCTAACTTGAATCCAAGACCTCAAAATTATTCATTAGACCCTAAGCCACTCAAACTATTCATTGGAGATCAAAGAAAAAAGATCTCGTAGTAGTTGTTGGAGGGTAAAATATGTACTGCAACATGGGGCCCAATAGAATTTGATGATTGGACATCAAGAATAACACCAATCAAAGAATGATTCATGCTTGTACAAATAATTTAATCTTCTGAAGTTCATATTATCTGGTTTTGTACATAATCAACTCAAAATATCCAAATCAATGGAAATATTGTGTCTTACCTATATATCTATGATCATTTCCTTCCATAGTCAACGTGAGAATTTATTTGTCATTCTCAAGTCCTAACCTATATATTATATGTCATTTTCTTAAACATACTTTTCCTAAGCAAATTATTTTTCTAACAGTATCCCTCATTGTTTTCATGATCAACATGAAAATAAGAAAGCACCAAGTAAATTTTAGAGTTTCCAAATGTAAAATGCCTTGGAATAAAATCAACACTTGGGATTGGGATTTTTTTAAAACAATGTTATTTTAAAAAAATAAACATTTGTTTAATTTATGGTCTAAGAATTAATTATGTTATTATTAGTAACTTTATATTTCAAGTCAAACAAATATATGTTATTGTTCTAAAAGAATACTTTCTGTTTTTTGTTTGGGTACAAAATAAACATTAGCGCCTCACAAACTATAAATTTATCCAAACAAATGAATTGATTTCCCTAAAAAAAATGGTGCAACTCTTAAATCATTAGCATTCATGTTTCTGACCATCATCTTTATCCAATGTACCAACAATATCAATTAAAGCATATATAATAAAATGCCATAATTATGAAAATTTGTTTTAAAAAAAAAGACATAATTATGAAAATTAATTACCTTACTGCATTTACAGAGAGTGGATTTGGATTGGTATAGGAGACTCATATCTAGATAAGAAAAATTTGTTCCTCTTCGAATGCATATATATGACTAAAATCGTTCCTCTCATTTTCGCTTTCTATTAGAAGACAAAAATTATACAGAATAGAAAATGTTCTTCATTTTATTATACTGAATAGAAAAGCAAGCATACAGTACAACTGATAGATACGATACAGACAAACACAATTCTTAAGATACAAACATACAGATGTAGTCTAAATCTAAAGTCTCAACCTGTCTTGGTAGATAATAACTTCAACAAAGTTTTTTCAGAATTCAACAAAGCTCCCAAAGAAAGGAACAAGAAGGTAATTAGAACTCTTTGGTGATATCACTTAACTAAGCTTTTCAGGCGTTTCTGAAACTCTGGATTCTTCTTAATTGCAATGTCGACAGGAAGATCAAGTCCTCGCGGTATTCCTCCTGGGAAATTATTCGAGGAGTCTGATCCGATCCTACTGCAAATGATAAACCAAATTGATGGAGTCTTAGATCATAATAATACCTAAAGAAAACAATGAAATATCGAGAAATGTGCTTACCTCCTATCGATAAGAACAATGGAACGAAGCTCAGCGTTCGCAAAACTGCATATTAAAGTCATGAATCTCTTTAGTCCAAATTAAAAGACAAAAATAAAATTTCAAGCCTTAAAATTAAATGTAGGAGCTTTGACAACACTAATTTATATGGTATCGCAATACTTCTCCATCCCTCCGACATTAATAATAGAGATTAAATACATTTGATGCGGTATATTTAAATACGTGTCTACATTCGAATCTCCAGCATTTATTAGACATGTATGAGATACTTATTAGCTCAATAGAAACATATCATACACACTAGCTATACAAAGTGGATATGGATTTGACACCTGTTAGACATTATAGAACACTTGACAAGCATAAGAAATAGACATAAATAGTAATATAGGAGAAAAAATAGTAAATTTTAAGAGAAAAATACATCAAACTCACTTTAAGCATAAAAATGTATGAATTTTATTGACTTTTATTACTCATACATGAATTAAATTTACCCAACCCATCGACTTAAGCTTTTGAGTTGAGTAATAGTTTATTCATCCTTAAAAATTTTAAATTCCTTATTGTATAAATATCCTTATTAATAATATATCGAGGTAATGCTTACCTTCCGCGGATTTCACTTTGTATAAATAGATCGCAATCATTTCCAAAATGTAGCATTGAAAAAATTAAGAATGCACTATGGGTGACAACCGCGATCTCCTTCTCCTTCCGAGTCAATAACCTGGCCAAAGTAGAAAACCGAGAGATACAGAAATTAATTAAGGAGCTATCGAATCCTAAAACGGACCAAAATAAAATACATGAAATACTAAACCAGAATTAATTTAATGGCAGAAAAAACTAATAACGAAAAGAAAACGTAAATATATATATATATATATATATATATGAATGAAATACACACTCACCATTTGAAAAACTTCAGTCCCCTAGCAGTAATTTCGTCCTCGGTCTCGAAGACGTCTGGCTTCCAGAAAACATCCTCATCATGTTCAATCTAGAGAGAAAAAAAAGCAATATGAAAATAAGTTAAAAACTTTATAATGGAGATGAACACAAAATTAGCAAGAGATTCGAGTGAAACTTGCCATTGAAAAATCAATGGCAGGGTAAAGAGGCCGATACTCGCTAATGCTTCGCCTCCTCACATTTGGCAGAACGCCCTATAGAATGAAAGAATATTAATGATTTTTTCATAAAATCCAATAATATATTTAAGGCTCAATATAATATATGTCATTGGAAGATGTTAGCTTCCTAAAACAACATTTGAGAAGTTTGAAGTTGAAGAATTTGTACAATAAGTTCCCGACAATCCTCAATTGCCAAAACTGGCGGGCAGTTCAAACTGGATATTGCGGGACGGTTGTTACCCCCAGCATTTTCCACCATCAAGGGAGGAACATTTAAATCATCCGAGTGCTCTTCACCACCGAAGGTTCCAACAGCTGTTTCAATAGTCCTACAGTATAAATTGCATTGAAATTGTAAATAAATATATAATAGAAGCCAAGGGGTCAAAATTATACAATAACAATACGGTACCTTGACATGGGGGATGTGATGACCAACTCAATTTTCTTAGAAATTCCACGTGATTGTACATGTTTGCGTAGAGTGTCGACCTATTTCAATAAAACACCCAGAAAAGCATAAAGAAGGGTTCAATTTATGGGGAAAATAGTAATTATAAATTAAATAAGCAAAGGGAAGCGATTACCTGTTTCCATCCTACAGGAGTAAGCCGAGCATCAAAAAACTCCTCAGATAGAAGTGAATCTAGGTCCTCATTCAAATTATGAAATCCCTGGGCATGCCTCACCTATAGGGGCGGATCCACGATTTCACGTTAGTGGCGCACAATTCATAAACATATTAGAAAACCACCAAATTTAACATCGATTTCAATTACAATAAATTACACCTTCAATTCGTATAAACATAAAGGAAAATGACCAAATTTAACCTCGATTTCAATTACAATTAATTACACCTTACACTTATATATGTGTTGCAATCTTGACCTTAAAAGTTAAAAGTGTAGCAAATTTTACCTTCTAATAAATTTTCATTTGAAAATTTGTTAAAAAAATAATCTCATATGTGTCGAGGTATAAAAAAATATATTTGATATGAAATTGACATAATTTAGACAAAAATGACGGTAGAGCTGTTTTTTTTTTAATTGTAAGCTTTTATGGTATAGAGTTATTTAGGTGTGAATTTTGTGCATCAATCAAACTAGCTTTTTATCATATTAATTAGTTTTTTTATAGAATATTTATCGTGTTTTCTTTATAATTATTTAAACTACTCGGTGAAGAAGTGAAAATTGAATAGTGCAACACTTATCTAAATGTATGGTTGAATTTGATAAAATTAAAAATTTATGGTAAAAAAATTTATACAACTTACCCAGTTTTTATGGGTATAAAATGAAAGTTTTTTCCAAATATAATCTTAGATGCAGTTATTATAAACACAGTTTGATATTACTTTGTCTAAATAAAATATGATTGAGTTATTTTTTATATAAATAGTTTAAAGAATAAACTAAAATAAAAATATATATAATTCTATATGTTTATAATTATTTCGCATTTTATCTAAGGGATAAATTTAAATTTATTAGTAGAAATATGGTCCACACTGTAAATTTACCCGACATAAAAATCTAAATTATTTACTTAATTTAAGAAATATATAAAAATATCAAATATGCATATATATTGCAATAACAAAAAAACAAAATTAAAATAAAAACCTAGTATATGAGTCACCTGTAAACTTATTTCAATAAAACTAAAATACAAGTGCATAGATGGAAGAAGATGTACATTTTTTACATTGTTAGCACATACCAGATGAATAGTCTTAGTGCGGTGGAATGGATACACATTTATAGCCGCTGCAGCTTCCATGTCTATTGTCTATCATTAGATCAGCATAATATTAATTATTAATAGCAAGTAAATAATTAAAAAATATTGATTTAATATCAGTATGAGTTAAACTCAGTAATAATAGACATCGGTCCCTAATCAATAGATTTTGAATTTAATCTCCACGCTACAGTTGTAATATATAAAAAAATAGGAAAATTGATTTGATGATTTGATGTACCTTGAACTGAAGGGCAGGAAAAAGAGTGAATAGCAAAGTAAGAAGAAGACCAAGGACTCAATATTTTTTGACACGTTTCTGTGGAGTAAGAAGTGTGATGAGTATGGGTATATATAATAATAACATTTCTGGATTGATTCAGTGCTCCCCAAAAAAAATGGTATTGGCAATATCCCTACCTTTTTTACATTTATTTTTAAAAACAATGACAAATATTATGTCTCTATCTTTGCTAATCTAATCACTATTAATTTTTTTTCCAGGAGGGGGAGAAAATCATAAAATTAGATATTTTTCTTATTTTTTAAAAATTAATAATCCGTCAAATTTTTATTGGTGGATAATATGAAGATTAAAAGAAAAAAGATCTCTATATTTACACGATAGAGAGGTAGATTAACAAGATTCACATAAATGCTAGTTCACGTTATTCATGGGAATCCTGATATTAACATCATAGCTTTTATGCTTACCAATAAATTTTAAAACATAATAAATACTAAGATATATTCACATCTTTTATGCACGTTTTATTGATGTGAATCTAATATATTTTTTTTCTTTTTAATACTCACGCCCTCCCCTCCTTATCCATTTTCTTCTCATTTCCTCCAAACTTTCTCTCTCATGTCTTCTTTCATCTATCAACTTTTCTCTTCTTGTTTGTGTAAAACCTACTTCATGTGGGTTTTTGGAAGTGGAAAATGAGAATAATTGTTTTCTTTTTCCAAATGTTCTAAACAATTTAAAAATATTTTTCCAAAAATGAGAATATAATATAAGAAACCTCAATAATTGC